ACGCTGCCGCTGACGCAACGGTTTCGGAGAAGGAGGCATGTGGGCTACTGGTGGAAAAGGACACCGGAGCTTACGCGGAGCTTACGCGGAGCTTACGCGCGGCTTACGCGCTGGAACTCACAAAAAACACCTGGAGTTTCTCATGTCTGACATGGAGGTTTGACTGTTCAGCTGTGGTGTTTGGACTGTGTGTTCAGCAATTCGAGTTTGGATTGTGTATGTATGTGTGGAGTTGGACTGTTCCTTAGTCCTGGCACTTCTGAGAGGGGTTGCTCATGTATTTATCATGTATTTCTTCAAAGCTTACGCATGGCTTACGCAAAAGGTTTCCTTACAAAAAGCTTACGCAACCTTACGCGCGTGCAGGTTTTGCTTACGCGCAACTTCGATATGACAACACACTGATTAAACATGAACACGGAGGTTTATCGAATGGCTCAGTTGATATCCAATTGAAATTAAATCAATGTCATGCGTTGTTGCCTCGGTCATGGACAGGATAATACAAAGAACTCGCGGTCACCTACCGAAATGACTGGAAGGTCACGGGTTTTGAAGGACAAACATGGTGAAAGGACCTTGCATCTGCTTCGCAGCCTCCTTCTTTGCAAAGCCAAGCCTTCAGGAGAGAGTTCCTTTTTAACCACATCAAGCACATGCTGTGAACTGCGTGTCCTCTGTCTTATTTCAATATAATATTCTATATATACACATAACTATACACATGTATATAATATGTCCTTCTCGGTGCAAATGTAAACATACGGTATAGTATACATGCTAATGCTGTGCTGCCTGCACAAACAACGCCAGCACCGGCGACAGGACGCAACCGTACTCGGGCACAAACTCCTCTGTCCATCCAATGTCTTGGAGTCATGGACGCCATGTGCGGAGCCACAGCCACGGGCAGTGTGCGCCGCAAAGGGACCTCCATCTCCATGTTCACCCTGCACCTCCTATGGCTCAATAAATATGGAATTCTCTTGAGCTGGGCAACCAACTGATCTCCAGTTTGGTCCTTCTTTTCATGCCAAATGTCACGCTATGATCTGCTAAATCCAAAAGTGCGAGTGTTTGGAGCTTGCATGATTGACAATGCTCACCATGCTCTCCATTGCATGGGCTGGAGCCCGAAGCACAGGCTTTGCTCAAAGGCAAATTTCTGCACTGTCAACCCTTCACAATGTTTCATCAATGAGCTGTAACTTGCCAGCGATACACAGCCGCTGCAAAGGCGATAGCCTTGGAAATTCAAGCATACCCTTGAGCAACCTTCGCAATCAGATTCAAAGGAGGTTGAAAGAGATCTGCACTAGTGAAACACATCCTTTTGCTTGATCTTATGAAGCACTCTTTAGGGCCGGGCTTCTTTTCCCAAGGTTCCGGAAGTGGCTCCTTTCAGTCTGACGGTGAACATTTGTTCAAGGACGTCTCCTACCTCGCCTTCTCAGCTTCGATGGAGTCGTAGATTCGCTGGAAGTCCTGAACAAGAAGTCTATCTAAATAAGGTAGCTAGGTTCATTGGCCACATACGTCAGATCCTTGAGCCTTTCAACATGAAACTGCCCTCAGGAGTCCACTTCCAAGTTGGATACGATCGCTGTCTCGAAACCTTCGGATAAAAAGAGCAACGATAAACATTGGAGCGTGATTGACGGCTCGCTGCAGGAATTGCACTCAGAGATAGAGAGAGATAGTCATCCAAATTCAAAGGCACAACGTGAAATCAGCGCAGTCACGCCGTGCAGCATTAAAACGGTATTAAGAAAACCGAGCCTCTAAAGGCAGGTAGGCGAGCCAATGTGAGTATCTCATTCCATCTTTGTGAGCCAACCTGGGCGACAAAATCTCAGCTTCTGGAAGGACATTCCTGGTTTCTAGGCACAAAGATCCCTTCATTCCAGGCGATTCAGCAAATAGCGGCCCGAGACTCTTGCCCATTCTGCTGGAATCCTGCTCAAGCTTGTTTTACAGGGATGCACAACCAGGTCTGTCGGCGTGCTTGGTGAGCTTATGCAGTCACTACAGAAGTCACAAACACCCAGGTACTACCGTGCTCTAACCATGCACTGGATACAACAAGCATATTGCTTAACATCAACCCGGTCATGGGCCCCTTCTCGAGCATATCGCTGGTAGGGCCGACAAGGAGATAGCGCAGCTCTGCATCATCAACACGATTGTCGCCTGGCCAAATCTACCATCTCTTGACATGCAGCACACGAGACCAAGTGTCATCAACTGCAGCATCTTGGTGTTTTGCCAAGACATCTTTCACTCTTTCGCCTTTCATGATTCTGATGCACAGTGCGAACGAGAAGAGTGTCTTGTCCTTCTCAAATAGGCCACGGCCTGAGGTATCAAACAATGTCACGTGTTGAGACATTCTGAACGTTTATCCAACATGGTTCGATCGGGGGAAACACAAAGGCGATCAAGAGGAACACGACATGCTCGGAGTTGTGAGTAATTAGATGTACACGATCAAGGAGTCTTGCTTGAAGTATACAATGTATTACAATAAGTGTCTGACAAATGTTCTGATACAGAGACTCCGTGAAGAAGTCCTCAGTCGCAAGCAAACGCATGTACACAAGTTCATCTTCACACCTTCAGTTGTCGGCTACCTTGATTCTTCGCTGGGCTCGGCGAACCAATGGGTTGACCAAATGGGCTGATCATGGCTGATTAGTTGACCACCCTGGGTGAGTCCCGGACTTGTAGAATTTCAAGCCGTTCCTGGCGCTGACTCGATCTGATCGAATACCAACGAACCCATCCAGGTAGAACCTGCCAGACCCTGCCATCCTCAAGCACATCACACTTCGGCGACTGATCCACTGCAAGCTGGAAGAGCTGTTGAAACCTGGTACAGGCAATTCAGCAACTGTATGTCGTTTGAATATGTCTGATATTGTTTGATATTGCTGCAGAAGTTCAAACGTCTCCAAGTTCTTCTCCACCGAGGAGCCACTGTAAGCTGTACTGGTACATTGGATCAATATTTGCCAGCTCCACCTGAGCAAGGCCATGAATGACTTGCAACCAATACTAACCAACCGCGTTGAATGACTGCAAAACCTGTCAGTAGACAAGCGGCAATTCCGAAGAAAAGCACTGCGGTTCGATATGCCACTGGACGGTACGACCTTGTCCGTCTTGTTTGCGGGTGCATCAAATATGTAGATTGAGATTGGTGTAACACAAATTTAACAACCATGGCAGCAAGTCACATAGAGCAGGAGAAGGAACCAAATCAAGCACACTCTAACATGATTGACAAACTTTAAGGATGTTTTAATGGAGGGCCAAGACCAAAGAACACATTAAAACTCAAAGCACCACTCAATCTGAAACTGCAAAAAAAGCTCTTGTGAGTTTGGCTCTGTGGGTTCGGCTCTCGGGCATTGTCAATGTCAATTTCAGTGGCTTTTGCAACCTTCCATGGACATTTGCACATGTACCTCATGAAGGATAACCTGCATGATTAGCTCTTCTCTGCCTCCTGCTTCTCCCCAATGTCCAACGAAACCTGCTTGGAAGCGGTCACTTTGTCGACCTCAATTCCAGTTGCGATGCGAAGCAAGGGTCAACACAGAGTCAAGACTCTTACACAGCTAAGCTCGAGTAAGCTACAGGCCAGAGTATCGTCCTCCAGTACATCACCCTCGCTGGCCGAAAGCAAATGTAGGATCTCGTCCTCACGAAACGACAAGAGAACAAGACATGTTGATAACGAATTAAAGATTACAATCAATATACAATATAATACAAGCATTTACCCTTCCCACCGTGCGCTTGTGACGCGGGGAATGGACTTGGATGCCCCAGATACCCCGCTTAACCCCGTCGCCCGAATATGTGTATTACTTACATACATGCTTGACACCGAACCGCAAAGAAACTCTGAAAGCATCTGCCCTCGTCGAAAAGTATTCGTCCTCAATTTCTTTCAACTGTTTGTTCATCTTGGCATTGTCTTTCACCTGCTCCACGAAACTGTGCTTTTGCACACAAAGAGTAGCTAAAAGAATATCTCACCAGCTGGCTCTTCTGCTCTTCGAGGTCAGGTCTCTCCTTTGCCACAACAATGCCAAGCATTTGATCCTGGAGACGTCCCGAGCTCAAACTCAAAAATTAGCACAACATGAGCAGAAACCTCCAGGCCAGTAGGTGTGATTGCGAAGTTGAGCAACGTGACCTTTCCACAAGGGAAGATGTGCTTCTCACAACTCAAATGCGAATGCACGTCAGCATCGAAATCAAGCCTTCACTGACGTCTCTGGCGAGTAGTGTGGGTTTGGCCTGACCGAGTTGTTGCGAGAATTGCCCTGCTGCTGATTTCCAGTCTTGGGTCGCTACAGTGTGGTCGTCATGTAAAACTTGAAGGTATTAGCATAATTGATTGACCTGAGTTTCAACATTGTATATAATTGATCAAAGCAAACAGTTTGTTGAGACAAAACTCGTATACCTTCTGAACATCAATGAGGGCAAGGCTTGTCGCCCAATTTGATCGTAAAGCCGGATCCATCTCGAACCTGCAGAAATTCGATTGATCGAACCTGCCCGACCCTGAAACCTTGTCCAACAAACAAATTGGAGACCTGAGGGCCTGCAGACCTCACCCGGTTCCTTCGAATATTGAGATTTTCAGGCTCTGCATCAACGACATGAGCCATGATCAAAACATCCTATATATTATATATAGCAAGTTTTTCACTTTGTTTTTCCTCAGCTTCCTTTCAGGACTATCGTTCTTTGGGCATCCCGCAGTATTTCCGAAGTGCAAACTACGAAAAGGGCACATAATAAACAAAATTATCCAGCAAAATTTTGTGGGTGGTTCTTGAATATCGAGCTACACTGGTCAAGCTTGGCGTGTGGATTGATAAGAGTCAAGTGTCAAGAGTATCAACGACACAGAGTTGCAAATATTCGATCCAACGACCTCGGCAAGTGTTCAAGGTGTCAGAAGTTTGGACAAGAAATGACAAGAACCTTAGAGGATGTTAAAGATCTTAAAGGCTTACTGCAGTCAAGGCCGACAACATAGAGGTTGAGGAGGCTCAACCTTGTGAACACATGTCCTCCGCACCCTTTATGCGACCGTCAGTTCATGTCAGCGTGCCTTCTGCTGCTGGAGAATGGGCTCTAGGGCTGGGTCGAGACTCAACCCAATGTTTTCCAACCTTTCAAACAGACTCATCAAGCGTAGGCAAGACAAAGCGAGATGACATAACGAACCCCGAAAACTCAAGTGTATTCATGTGTATTCACAAAATAGTTTTGATGTTGGTTCCCAACCTGCGTGTTTGTGTGTGAAATGTGCGGAATCACGTGTGATTCAGAAGGCTCTTTGGATGCCAGGCTTACAGCCCTTTTGCTGGAACTATATAAATGACAGCGTACGCAGTGTGTTGACTCGATGTCTGTCCGTCTAAGGCTGCGACAAGATCCACTTACCAAATTGGATCCCCAGCTCCAGAGTTCGCAGGAAGTTGGTCTCGCTCATCTTGCAAACCTGGTGTGTGACGAAGTCTCTATTTTTTAAAGGGGGGTAGGCCGGTAATAGAAGGGGGAGCTAATAGAAGAGAGGTAGCTAGTAGCTTAAGTAGCTACTAGCTACTGGACGAAGGATAGCTTACGCTTCTTGAAGGAAGCTCCCCCCGCCTGAGGGCGGGGCGGAGCTTCCTAAAGAAGCGCTCACACTAATGATTTGGTTTCTAGAATGTTTAGGAAAACTTGACAATCCATGCATGCTATGATATACACACTTCTCTCTTTAATTGACCTCTGAGGAATCCAGCTGAAATAAACAACACCAAACCGTATTTGAAGTCTCAGCAACATCGAACCCCGTCTCAATGTCTTTGCCCATGTTCTTGATGTACTTGTTGGCCTTGCACAAGTAATTGATGCACTTAGGGCTTCCAAACTTATATAATCGAACTGATTCACCTTTCATCATCATTCCATCTTCACAGACTTGGCTTCGCGAGGGCAACGCCTGGCGCTGTGGATCGATCATCAGTGGCCATCTGCGCGATCTATCAATGATGATCGCATTCCTCAGCCATCGTAGCATGTCGGTCTCAATAGCATGCACATCGTAGCATGTCGGTCTCAAGAATGAAATGGACTGTCATTTTTCAAATTGTGCGCACGATCCGCTCAGTCACGGCTTTTTCTGGCATCATCGGCTTGCTATCGTTGCTTCGTTTCAGGCACGGCCCTCTTGGAACTACTTTGGGACACACATGAGCCATCATGAGCCTTACAGTGAGCCTTACTGCTTGGCCAGCGGCCTTGCGCTGGAGCGAGCACGCCTCTCAGCACCTCAGCGTCGCAATGTAAAGGACCGTACTTTCCTTTGGGCCGAAAGCGTGAGGGGCCCTTTGATGCGCCATTTCCAAGGTTGACCTTGAAAGGATCCGGATCCAGTGGGCCGAACTCGGAAGGCACCTGGGAAGCTGGTCCTCAAATGCAACGGTGCCACGTTCCGGACGCTTCTCGGACTCTCCGAGCGAGAGTATGGCCTGGAGGCTGCTTGCGCGAAAGAAGTTTTGAGACATGCCTCATACGCGTCCTTAAGCTCAGCAAACTTTGAGGAGTCAACCTGTCCGTCCGCAGCATCTGGATGAAGACTCCGAGCCAACTGATGGTATCGATGCTTCAATTCCTGCCGGGATGCACATGGAGAGATCCCTAAAATGTCATGGCAGCTTCGAAATCGCAATAGAAGGGAACGTAACATTTCCCTGGAAGGACTCAGGTGGCGGAACTCTTACTTTGAGCCAAATGCAGGCGTGACCATGATGACTGTAGCTTTGCAGCATGGCGCCTCCGAACAGCCCCAAAGCGCCTCACCCTCTGCAAGTCTTACGTTGCACAACCACCCAACTCTGAGCCATTGCTTAGGCACCCCGCTCAATTGACAGATTATCGTTGGGCAAGGAGTAGACAACCCACCTGACATATTGACAATCGAAATCTTTCAAAGCGGTGTCATTGGCACAGTGTTGAATCGGCTAATTTGGCGGCTCACTGTTGAATCTTCACGGGTTCTCCAAGAACGCTCCGCATGTTGCACTCCTCTCTTTAGCCAGGTTCGAAGTTCGGAAGGCAGTTCTTACAGCTCTGTTTCGGTCACTGTCACGAAAGACAATGAGGTTAATATAATTCATCCATCCTCATTGTGCGCAATGGACTCTTTGTCCAACTCTTTCAGCCACTCTTGCTCGAAGTTTGTGCGGTACTCTGACCTTGGGAGTGTTTATGCACCATGCGAGCCGATTTGAGTATTCCCCCAAATAGTATCTTTTGAGCTTGGAACGTGAAGGGGCCAGTGTAGGAAACCATACCGGCAGCCACAATGCAATCGCCGGGCCTGTACATGCAATAGAGTTGCATGGCGGTGGTGGAGGCTTTGGTGTCGCTGTGCACGGCCTCTGAGTCAAGTCATGTCGGTTTGGCAACAACTCGAGCTGCTCGGTGAGCTTGATCACATTGTCAGCCCAACGAGCCTATCATCACAATGGAATAGAGAAAACAGTGAGGAAACGTGCAATTCAATATAGTTTATCTAATTGAGGAAGAGCCAACTCTGAAAGCCACACTGCAAAGCCTTTTCACCCCCAAGGCCGCCAATCAGCTTGTGCCTGCATCAATTAAAAGGACGTGCAGCAAATATTGGAAAGAATAGTCATCAACACGGTGACCTGGTGCTGTTCTAAGGCGTGAACGCTCGCTCCAGCTTGATTTCACACAAGGCCATGTCCTGTTGCAAAGACTCCTGCCGAGCCTAGGAAGAGCCAACCACAATACTTACATGTTGCAACCTTTGATGTTTCGATGTATTTCAAGTCATTGTAAGCTAGACAAGAGATTCCAAGAGGTGTTCAAGTTCACTCTTCATCTTGCCTTTCTTGACAGGCCAAATCTCTAGGTGACAAACGATTCCCTGGTTGTAGTCCTTGGCATGTTCACGCTCGATCAGAATCAGAACACGACGTACGACTGTATACCAGCATGCAGAAAGTTCTGAGAGGGACTTTCCTTGACTTGAACGTCAACAAAGGCCACACGACTGAAGATGTTTGAAGATTCTATTTAACAACAATTGTGGACAAAGCGCTGCTTCCAACTTCTGTATCTTGTCGTGCACTTCTCGGAGGGCTGCTTGGGCTGCCTCAGGCGTGAAACTGTTTCGATCATGCGAAAGGTTCTCTTGCTTCATTGCACCTACTTGCACCTAGCAGTTTCCTGCTTACTAAGCTTGCTACTAGTTAGCAACATTGATAACACATACATACATACATACATACATACATACCTACCTACCTACCTACATACATACCTACATACCTACATACCTACATACCTACATACCTACATACCTACATACCTACATACCTACATACCTACATACCTACATACCTACCTACCTACCTACCTACCTACATACCTACATACCTACATACCTACATACGTACATACGTACATACGTACATACGTACATACATAATACATGCATAGCATAGCATAGCATAGCATAGCATAACACAACATACCAAACCGTAACATAGCATACATTACATTACATCACATCACATCGCATCACATTGCATCACATTACATTACGTTACATTACATCAAATTACATTATATATGTATAATTCATATAACATTATATAGTCATATGATATATACGCACGCACTTCTAATGATTGTTTGTCTTGTCGGTTCAAGTTTGCTTGTCAATCTCTGAGTCTCAGGCTTCAAGCTTTCCCATACACTCTGCTAGATCAGCTTCAGCCTCGATGGATTCTTGAAGAGCAGAAACTCTGCAGAACGCTGCATGTCCAAGAACACCCAAATAATGATCTCAGTTTTGATTCTGTGGTCCTTGGGTTGTGAACCCCCAAGGCCCAAGGATCCCCAATTTGTTGGTTGGGTTAACAAATGTTTGCACACACCTCATACTGACCTCATCTGTACTCGTCTGTATCCGTCCGAATCTGTTGCCTCTTGCTCTTTCGAATTGAAGTCTCCTGCCTCACGGAGAAGCTGCCGCTTGGGCTCCACCGCCTCAAATCCGCATTGCTCGTGAGCATGGGGTCCCCGTCACAAGCATGGAAGGGTTGGTGAATTGCATTTCATGTGCTCTGAAAACTACATGAAGTGTGCTTTCTCGTCATAAGTACACGTATTCGTGCATCACCGATGACTTAAGCACGCCTTTGCGACAAAGTGGTACTTGTACATCGCACCAACCCACAAGCACAAAGCTTCACATGCGATGGAAGCCTCTGCCAGCCAAGAAATGCAAAAGCGTACGTACAATAAAATATCTTACATACACCTCTAGCTTGTGCCTTCTTGATCGCAGCTGGGTCAAAGTCTTCCCTTTCCATGTAGGGTGTGATGGCCTGTGACTGCGAAATTCCACGAGTCTGTTACAGTGGGAAGTTCCCAGCCATGGTACTGTGATGTGCCTGAATCACTCTGTCAGGGATGTTGTCCTTGTCGAAATTGAACAAACGGTCCAAGAGCGCTTTGGGATCCTGCAATATCTCCTGCCATGAAAGACTCGACATACCCTCAACATGTTTCTGCAAACATTAAGCTCTTCTATCACCAAAATGAAGCCTTGCAATGCCCTCCTTTTGGCTCGTCTCCCAATAGTCATCGATCTTTTTGCCAGGCGTATTCGGATCATTCTTCTTGACCTAAAGAACCAAAAAGCCTAAAAGACGTGGGCTTTTCAGCAAGCAAACTGCCCTTGGAATCGCACAGGCTTCAGCTGAAACCTCAGCCAACAAAGCATTCAAGTAGGAACATAGAATATTTATGAATATTTATATTTCTGCTGTGGGGATACCCGCCTACCCCTCCAACCCAACCAAATGCGTAAACAAACCAAACGACTGCCGTGGCAGTTCAACCAATAATTATCCGCAAGATCCAAATAATCCAAACACAAAATTATCAAATATTCCACGCATTGCAAAACTTCAAACACGGTTCAAGGCAGCGACAGCAAACAGCAAGCACGAAATACTCAATGCAGGTCATCCAAGGCTACCGTGACTCAAAACATGGAGCAAGTTTATTCAAAACAACCACTTTTTGAGACGATATAGCGCTGAGGGAGCTCCCTCTCTTTATGTTGATTCTCTGAGTCTTGCTTGCAAAACTTTCCCTTTTGTCCTGGTTTGTGCACTGCTGGCCAAGGCATCAGCATGACGCAAATGGCTTCACAGGCCAAGCGGACACCAGCTGGAGGGTTTGCTAGCGCTTTGACCTCTTCGACTCTCAATAAAACTGGACTATAAACGTGGCAACATGTGTTGGCCTCCTGAATGTGGGCAGTCTTGAGCTTCTTTAAGCATGCGACCTTTGACCAACAATCACGTGTACTCGGGAATCTATTCCAGGCACAGAAACTTCCAGATCTGTGAGACTCACTGCAGTGTCCAGCGCTGGCAAGGCTTCGTCTAGGTCCTTTTGAGCATCATCCTGAACACAGGACATGAAGGGCATCCTCTTTCTTTCTTTATCTTTTGGAAAGAAAATGGAGGTTAAGTAGTGGCAAAGCACACGGTCCACCTCAAGTTTCTCAATGCATGGACTGAGCCTTGATAGCTTGTGTTGCCTCAGCTTTCGTTTTCGCCTCAAGATGGATTGACGGATGCAACAACCGGCAATTGCTGCATCCAAATTGTCTATGAAAACTTTGGAAGTACCTATTGTGGCTCTGGGCCTCTGCTTCTTCGTTCGCTACCTTCGTCGAAACTTCCTGTGCAGCCGCCTTGTCAACCTCGATCACCTAGTTTGAAGCCATGTGCAAAAGTAGAACGGCACTCAAATATGCCACTGCCACTCCATGGCAGAAGTTCAGATCGTGCCTTCATCATTTCACCTACTTCCTTCTGGGTCTTTTCCAGCTGTGGCTTCTTCCTGACATGAAGAGTCCATGAACCTTGCCACAGATTCAGACTAATCGGCGTCAGGCGCACTCAACCAACATCTGCTGCAATCCACTGACCTTCGGCTCAACACTTCAGCAATACTTCAACGTAGGTGTCATTGTTGATCAGGATACAACTATACTTTAACTATACTTATTCATCTTGTAAGACCTACGGTAAATACATACTCTTACTGAATAGCGTTGTGAGTAAAGGTTAGATTTGACAGGCGTTTACCTACCAGGCCTGCTTTTCAGCATCTCCAATCTTCTCAAGGCCAACCTGTGGAAATGAATCGCGGACCGAGGCCTCCTCCTGCTTAGCAGATCCATGCCTTGTAGCGCTTTTGCTGGGTGCCTACCTGAAGAATCAGATCGAATCAGGTCCATATGAGGTAACATGGTGCCAACGGTCGTTTAGGATCCCCATCATGTTATTCTTCATTCCCCATCTTCCCCTTCTCACCGCAACAAACCTTTTCTCCGTTCCAGCCTGCTTTCTCTTCATTGCGAGCACTGAAATAAAGCTAGACAGGAGCTCCAAATACGAGGTCGGAGTGACATAGACATGTCGCCTGGCGAGCATTGATGATGAGCACTGGCGAGATCGCGTGACTAGGTGAACGATTGCTCGGATCACAGGTCAATGGGTCCATAGCTAGGGCCACTGCTTGTTCTTTGCCAAGAACTGCTTGGATGCCAGTTCCACACTCATATGCATCACCTGGGGCAAAGTTCCATGTGCTCGCATGAACGGTTAGAGCTTGCAAGATCAAGTGCATGACTTGAAACAGCTTCAAAGATCCTTCGAACTTGTTCAGCTGCACCTGCAAATGCAACTTTCAGACTTGAGCATAAACTCCCACAATATACCGGCGAACTCTTGCTGAGTCTCACGCTGAGTTCAAGGTGAGCTGCTGCTTTGCCACAGAGTATAGTGCTTCAGCTGGCCACTCTCGAAACCAGTTGATCGTACAGCCTCAGATACTTTAGCGGCCCCAGTGGTCCCTCTATGTCAGAGCTTTTGAAAGCTTACGCTGCAGCACTGGACACATCATTCTTTGGATACAAGCTTCTGCGGACTGCGGCCGAATTCCGCTGCATGCTAGTGGTTGCATGCTCCACACTGAGAACTACCCATCAGACTTGCATATGTGTTCATCTCCAGCTTGAGCTCAAAAGGATGTGGCAACCCGGTTAATTACAGCAACATACAGCTTGTTCACAGCAAAAAAAAGTTGGGGCGACGGCAGTTCACCAAGGATGGGAACATGCGAAGACCTGAAAGAACAAATTACCACCCAAAAAAATGAAACAACCCATAGAAAGACATACACTAAGCTGTTTGCGACTGCGGAAGCCATCCCCAACGGGTGAGAACGCAAGGACGACATGCACATTCTTCTTCACCTTCGATTGGAAACTGAACTCAAGGCAATTGCATTCATTGTAGGCGGTATCCAGCCACACATAGCTACCCTTGGCGCACCCTGGAGAGGTAAGCGCTGAAGAGGTTTGCTTTGTTTGGCTGCATACCCATGCTCTGGCCTTGATCATCGATCAATCTCCACAAGTTGACACACATCACAAATATTCACAAATGCAACGTATAAAAAGTGTGTAATTTTGCTACTGTAATATACAGTGCAAGTGTGTCAATGTGCAACATATACACATCTACTCGAGACCCCATGATCTGCTCATAAATCTAAGATCTGTGGATATGCGGCATCTTGCAACTTTGTGGCAGAGCTGTCTGCAGGCACCCGAGATCGCTTCCATGTCCTGCGAAAGATCTAAGGACGCTCTGGTTATGGCTATTCATTTGCCACCAGCTCATTTCTTGGACGGGTCAATTCACATCGTTCCATGCTCAACTTTGTCGATGATGCCCGCCTCGTTTGCATAAAGATTTGGCACGTCGCCACCTGGTGACTCAAAGAGAAAGCAATGAAAATAAAAGTGTCTTCTATGATGACTCACACACTCAGCATGTTGAAGGCTCTGTGTCTTTGGGTTGTAGACTGTTCAAAACATTGTTGATGGCTTCAACGAAGTCCTCTTTGACGATTTGGGTGTCACCTAGGCGGGCAAAATGTTCAATCATATCTTTGCTCTCCAGCCTCTATCGGGATGCTTCAAGGCACAGAAAAGGAAGACTTGCACTTTGTCTTCGACGCCACACTTCATCAAACACTTCTTCACATCCTCAGCAGAATGGTGAATCAAGTTGCACAACAAAATTAAGCATTGAGACCCTCAAAACCCTAATCAAACACACTGTGAGAAGAAGGACTGCAGCTCAGCGTCATCGCGGAACTCGCTCATTCCATAGCCTTCGCAACTCGATCCGATGTTCATTGCAAGGTGCTTTGCAAAAAAAAATAAAACATCAAGCGAACTGTTCTTTCACTGCTAGCCTTTTGCCACTTCAATCTGAAAACACTCGCATTCCTCGGGTGCTCAATGGTGCTTCGCTATCTGCAGCCCTTGCTCCGATTCTTTACTCTAAATATATTATAATTCAAGCAGTGACACTCTTGTTGTCTTTTCACATCGTTTCATCAAATCTTGCCGTGGATCATTCATGTGGGTCGATAAGCGAGTCAAACTCTGGCGACCACTCCCACCAACCTCTCACAAAGGCATCTGCCATCCATGGCCGAATCCAAAAGCAAATCCAGGCTCCGCACCCCCAGCAAAAGAACATTTCCACTGGGTTGGCTCAGGACGCGGCCTGCGCTTGACTCTGCAAATCAACTTATCCACAACAAAACTGGTGTTTTGTCTGGTGGCTCCCGAGAGCCGTACAAATCCGCGCGCAATGCTCACAGGCGTCCAAGAACATCACGAGGGGCATTTGCAATGCACTGACCTCAAATCCGGGTAGTGTAACAGCGTGGCATAGCGGAGGCATTACAATCAATACATTCTTATGGACCATTTACTGCACCTTTGAGAACAAAGGCAGCTGCGCTGTTGTATTCGTCCAAGTATTCCTCGATGCAGTCTTTCATCGCCTCTCAGGAATTTGCAGGAGTCCCTAGTAGCGTCCTTGCTCCTAGTAGTGATGCCAAGTAGCGTCCTTGTTCCTAAATGCGATGCCCTTTGCTCCTAGTAGCGTCCTTGCCTCTTTTGCTTGCGCCAAAGTTGGAAGGGCAGAAACGAAAAGCATGCCGAAATCGTGGGCTGGCCTGCACGTCGAGCACCTCTTCATAATATCGCTGCTCTGCCTTCAAAGCTTCCACGATTCATTAGTCTATAGTCTTAAACTGCAAAGTTCCCTTGCTTCCAGTGTCCCGTCATCCCCTAGTATCTCCATCCTATCTGATATCTGGGCCCAGGGCATCTTGATTCAAGAAAGAAGCAAATATGAGACGTTCGCGAACGTAGATGGACCTTTGAAGGACTTCTGTCCGCGCGTTTCTGTTCCTGCTGGATATTTGTGGACAGCATCTTGGCATATCTTGGCTCTGGACTCATAGGGCGCTTGGAAGCTTTCTTCAAGATGACCTGTAGCTGGTGCAAAAGGCATGCAAATACAGAAGCAAACAGTCGTACCCTGGGTCTAAAAGCATGCATAATACCACTGTATATATATATATATATATGAGTCTGAGTATATTCTGTGAATTGAAATATCTTGCCAATTCTGGTCAACAAGCCTCTGATCTGCGTGGCCATCCATTTTGAGTCCTGATTATCCGTAAGCCTGTCACCAAAGACCTGCCATTTCACAAATCGCTTCTCTGAAGGCTTCTCCAAACAAATTCCATACTTTCTTGACATGTGACGGTTGGGATGTTCAAGCCGTGCCAGGTGTGCCCTTTGGATTTCGTGGCACCAGCATCTGATCACCACATCCCTTACATTTGCCTTTTTTGAGCTCAAGGTGCACAAACCCAGGAAGACCTGCAAGGCAAACAAACAAGTCCACATGTATATATATATATATGGCGGGTCGTCAAAATGATGATTCCCAATCGCCAATTAGAACTGAAATACATCATTTACATGGGGGCCCGCTTTTAAAACAATAGCATATAAAAGTCAGAACGGGACTTTCTGAACGTCTGCCATATATATATCTGTACAACATCTATCAACATGTGCCGTGTATTGACTACTTAAACATGAGATACTTCGACTTTGCTGCTCAATCATCACATAGTTGGATTTGACTCAAGCAATTTGATTGCTCCTAGCTGTTGAAGAAACCAGCACATGTGTCCTTCCTGTCTAGAGTCTATAGCTATTCAAATGCTGGGCTCAAGACACGCCAAATATCACGCAAATTGAAGAGATAGTGTGACTTCGCCGGTGTTGGCAGCAAGTCCTCCGAGGAAAAGAAGCAGCTCTTCTGAGGTGCGTAGTGCCAAAAAAGCACCAATCAATGCATGCTTCTAACCCAAATCCCCTTGGTCCAAGCCTTGAGCGCTTGCTTGAAAATGCCCACAGTGCAGTGGATCCTGATGACTTTCAAGGGTTCACGAATGTTCACACAATGTGCTGAACCTAACCAACACAAATTTTCCACACAAAATCTCTACCAATTAAAACCTGACTCTCAGCACAGAGCATAGAAGGAATGGTCAATTGAATCACTTCGTCAAACCTGAGTATCGGACAGTGTTGATTATTTACGGAAAACAAAAACGCATTAGTTACAGGAGAAGTGGTGGAGCTAGGACTGTAACATGCTGAGAAGCGGACCCTGAGAAGAAGTAGCCAGCCATGGTCTGAAAAATCTGAGCAATGGACTCATCCTGCCGTCAGAGGCGTTGACGAGGCAATGGAACTGAATTTCAACACTGTTCACAACATATTTATCCGCCATGCAGTCAAGCACAAACATTGGCAAACCTGAAGGTCGGAATAAGCAAGCACCTGAGACATTGCAAAAGAAACGAATTCGAATCGACTCACTCACTGCCTTCCCCCCCGCACTTGGAGTCTGGCATTGTAGTGGCGTTTCAAGCCTCGAATTGAACTTTTAATCTGCAACACGTGCAACACGTGTCCGATATGCCATGCAGATTGCATAAATTCTAATTTAATTATACTATAATTCTATATATATAATTATGTCTTTTAGTCTGATCAAGAGGGTTGCCATGAAGGCATGGGCTTCTGGCGTTCGGTGATGAAAGTACGACCTCCTCCCGGAGGTCCCATGGCAGATGCCATGACCTTGAAGTACATACATGTTTGTGGATGTCTTGTCACAACACAAAAATCTGGGGCATCACCATGTCCGTGATCTCAAACTTCTTCAGCTCCTTCCTGCAATTCGGCACAAAAAATGCAAACACGACAAGTGACAAGTGATGCCATATATGTATACTCTGTGAATACTATGATGCGTACATATGCGTACTGCGTATATTATGTATAGTATAGGTGCAAACTGCTGGCCTGTTGTACCAGCCACCATGGTCGTGCCATTGTCGCAGCCTCGCAGAAAAGCTTGGGGTTCTTTCGGGCACTGGAGAAGAGCATTGTGGAGTACATTGTAAGAAACTTGGGTTTTGGCAGCTCAATAGGTGGCTGAGCGCCGTAGTACTCTTTCTGAGGCATGTTCCTGCCAATGCGATATGGTGTATGATGGTGTATGCCCTCAGTACGCACATACTGCAACGACGGTACAACACGATACCACAAATGATGCATCTTCCAACCAAGTTTATGCAACCAATGTCACGCTGTTCAAGAATGCCAGGTTCACAAATCATCGACAAACAGCACCATCTTCTTTCCAGCTGGTGGACCATAGACTCCTCTTCTCCTGTCAGTTTCACCCCAGCTGCTGGCTGCTACGAGGCCTCTTTTGGCAAGCTAAAAGCCCAAGGCCTCTTTTCGAGCTTACTGTCTATGAGGTCTTGGAACCTGGACCACACATTTGTGCAACAGGGCATTGTTTGTCAGACCTGATGCTACACTGATGATAGGTGTTTGCTTTGCAAATTTGGAATAGAAGCTCCCCTTTTCCCTGATGACTTATCTCTTCTTGACTTCTTGAATTTGTGAAGTTCAAGGCTTCGTGACATTGGAAAATCACTCAGGCAACCGCTGGTTGACATGTGTCTGGGCCTAGACACAGGGATTGCAAAGGAGTTTTGGCTTTTGGTAAATGAAAGCAATCAACATGAATTCCTTTTTGTATGGTTAAGTTATTATTGTAATTACCTTCCCAGGGCCACACGGAGAAGTTCACAAAGACGCCTGCCAAGTGAGATTGTACAAAAGGTATGTGGCTGATGTCGTGTGCTTTACCTGCCTTGGAAATTCTCTGGCGCCTGCTTTTGCAGCCACATTGAAATATTCACACCTGGCACATTTTGGAGTCGGGAAACGCAGCTTCTCATGTCGGAGCAATCTCGGCGGACTCTCCAAGCTTTCAAAGGCACACAAAACTAGAGGAAAGCTTTTGAAAGCATTCCAGAATTCATCTAACTTTATTCATGAGGTTGAAGGGCTTGTGAAGACTTCTCACATGAAGTAGCTGCACACAGGAGTGTATCAACAGGGATGGGCTGACTCTTGCCCGTTCCAGTTGGTCCAGGGCACAGCACATGCTTGTCATGCGTGACCAGAATCCTGAACCAACTAAGGTCGCCAGTCATTCGGACCAACGAAGATGTGCAATTTGTCTTGCTAGTAACAAGGGCATTACTACTAGTAGCTAGAAGCTACTGCTCCATTTTCACCATCCAATGCGGACAAAGATCTGAAAGGCATACACCAAGCGAACGGAGTCAACTGAAGGAACCACCTGGCACCGGTAGAAGATCGGCCAAGATTCATGTGAATAGGGCGCTACTAGGAGCAAAGAGCATCGCTACTAGGAACAAGAAGCTACTAGGGGCTCCTGGCCTTACTACTAGGAGCAAGAACGCTACTAGCAACAAATAGGGCGCTTTACAAATGCAAATCTTGGGCATCATGGGCGCACGATCTCTTCATAACGAGCTCCCCGAGGAATCTCAAAGGCAGGGATGGTCTGCATCCTCAAAGTATGGTGAACGGCACATTGACAGCATGCATCCAACCTACACCTCCATGCGATCTCCTCTATGCAAAGCAACTCATGGAGCTGAGAGTGAAACCATGGAATCCATTCACTCTTCTCCACATCATAGAAGTAGTCGTAAATGAATGCGCCAACTTCTAGCCCTTCGAACCTGGGCGATGGTTTCAACAGGTCATCGTTATCTCCTCAAAAGAAAAAGCATGGAAAAGACACTGTTTGAGTCCGATTGATCCAGATCAGCTGCTTGATTCCATTTTGAACTGCAGGAAGTTCGACGTTGAGACCCTGGTCGAGAAATCACTTACACCACGTGAGAACTTGAGACTCGGCACAAGGCATAATTGTTACTACTAGTAAGGCACTTGTTACTACTAGCGATGCACTTGCTTCTAATAGCTTCTTGTTACTACTAGTAAGGCACTTGTTTGCACTCTTCCTTATTCTCAATTTGCCTGCATCTGATCCTCAAGTGTCCGATGTGAGTCCTGCCGTTGTCACGGCGTCAAGTTGTCACATGTGATACTCAATCAAAGTTCAGTGATAATTCATAATATGAGTTCCTTACGTTTGCGCTTGCACTTGGCTTTAGCGACCACAGCGGCAGTTTAGGCACAGCTGAGACACGAGCAGCGCCGCATCCGATGGACATACTCGTGCCGCTTTGTGTTTTTTGTCTGAACAAACGATGCGCCGCAAATTCGATTTGCGAATATCGCTGATGCACTGGGGGTAGTCGTTGGCGGCATTTCAACTGCTGGAAGAGTGTGCAATCTCTGATAAAAAGTATGGCAACACGTGCAAAAGAAATGGCAACACTGACACTTCGCCACTACTAAATGACACGACAAGGCGTGCTGTAGCTGTGACGCAACCCTCCTGTCGCCACCCCTGCTAAAACCTTTCCATGTAACAATGACATTTTGGAGGGAGTTTTTTCTTGCATCCAGTCAAAGGAATGTTACTTCCCACATCAAGAGGAGAGATCCGTATCCAAGCATCAACAAATGTATCAAAACATGGCGCCCGTGCTTAACAAGGAGTTTATTTACCACGTCACACGAAGGTGTTGGCAGTTGCTCCATTGTGTAATTAAGAATTATTTAAAAGTAATATATATATATATACAGGTGCAATCAACAGTGACGGACATGTCGATTGCCACCCAAAACCAGTCCTGGGAAGCAATTGCCCAAATAAGCTTGGAGAAGGCAGACCTGGTACTTCCTTCACAGCTACCTCCCAATGACCAAACCTCACAAGAGCCATGGGAAATATTGCGAAGCTCGATGGGCCCCAGCTCCACTGACTCTACTGGCAAAAGACGAAAGATATTGAAAGACATTGAAAGACTGAAGCCCGGGCCATGGCGAAAAAGAACAAAGGAGTCACGTGTGGGAGAAACCCAGCCACCTGCGATCCGATGGAAGGGATAAAGAAAGCAGCTCAAGCTCGGCACCAAGCCTCCTCCTTGAAAGCAGCTGCTGGTCTCAACTCTGTGGGTCGAAAGGGCGCAAAATAGCAATCCAACCTCACCACAATAGGAACAAGTGCATCGCTACTAGTAACAAGTGCCTTACTAGTAGTAACAATGTTTGCTATTAGTAACAAGTGCCTTACTACTAGTAACAATAAGAATTTAATTAGAATTGTAATTACTAGCTTCTTGTTACTACTAGTAAGGCACTTGTTCCTAGGCAAAGTGGTGGGGGAAGTTCTCGAGAGACATCCTTACTACCTCACCACAGCGATTCACGAGTCACACATTGTCGCACGAGTCCCAAACGCTTCTCGCTTGGAAATGCTACCAAATGCTAGAACACAGTTCCTTTCTGCAAAATTAAGTCTAGTGTTCATGATAGACACCAAAGAGAATCTCAGACTACTGCATCCGGAAGAGAGACTGCACGAGATTCGAGTCCTGCGTCTGCACCACCTGCAACACAGTTCCAATAGAGACTAATTGTTTTTCTGGCACGTGATCTCTTTGCTGCTACACAACACCACAAAGTCAAAGCTTAAGCTTGAGCTGCAGCCCTCGGCAATATTTGATTTAGTGTCCATGTCTTTGACTTTCCATCGACCATCCTCTACTGCTTCTACCTTCTAACACCCTTACGGGTCCGCCCAACGCCTCCTTGCAGCATTTGCGGACGTAGGCCACACTGAGTGGCAAAAGGTCCTTCCAAATAAATCTTGTGCGATCAAGAAATGATCCGTGTCACAAAAGTCTAAGCCATGTTGGTGGCTTTTCTGAGCAATAGCCTTGCTCATCCGCTTCATCCAATCTTTCTTGTTGGAGACTAAGCCGAAAAGAAAAGACTTTCGAGCTGGCTCCTCGCAGTATCGCCTCAAGCGTGAGCCAATGTCTGGCCTAGGTACACACAATACGAGTCACAAGCCGAGCATCATCTGAGTCGCACAACCGGACTTTGTCGCTTTGAGTTGTTCAATTGCAGCAGCATGCAACAGCAATAACTTCAAGCATACAAGTGGATCAGGTAGAGATGGGAAAGGACATTCAGTAGTAGAGACTTTGCCTGGTCGGTGTGCTAGTGATAGTGGCTTCCTGTACAATGCGTACGCATGCGTTGCTGAGGATCAGACTGAAAGCTGAAGGTCTCAGGCAGTGCCGAAAGCCAAGAATCAAAAAGCGGCTGAAAGCCTCAACTTCTTCACACGAGGAAAACAAGTAAAAAGAGTAAAACCTCTTCAGGCAACACATGACAACACGTTAGCTCTGCAGGCTTAGCAACCCAAGCTCTCAGGCTCCATGTAAATCATGCCTTGGCAAAAAGAAGGCGAAGTTTTTGTGACATCAGCACATGCAAATCGAGCGGAAAGCTATCACTGCAATCAAGAAGCCGCAACGGGACACGGTGGCAGGAGATGCCACCTCCAAGTCCTGGCAAATCGACAGAATTGAGATGAATTCAGCATCAATGGCATTTGAACCAGGCAGTTGTGGCTATTCCAAAAGAGTCACAACCAACAGTTACTAATGTTGTATGCCCAGCCCATGTACACCATGCCACCGACTTGACACTTGCTCATCCCTTCAAGCTATCGATTACCTTAACACTGATGAAACTCACATGCTTGATGACCGTTATCCGTTACGTGTCTTTTTAAAGTATGAGTCCAACACCTGACCTCTACCTCGAACATCATGCGCATCTGGGCAGTCAAGGCCTCGTTTGGCAGAAAAAGCAAAACAGCGGTTGACATGGGCAAGCGATGAGGCTTGCTTCGTTGGCCTTGACAGTCTTCAGGACCCGACAATGATCTCACCACTGACCAAACAAAGCTTTTTGTTGTCGTCAAGGACTGTATTCATGCTCCTGAGTGGCTTTCGCTGTACAGAATTATTCAATGTTCTAAGCACTGCGTTGGGTCGGGGGACTCGATCCATAGAGCATCCACAGGCCCATCAAACATTACCTGAGAGAGGGAGAGAGAGACAGAACAAAAAAAAAATCATTGAAAAGTCAGATGTCGCATTGTCTTGTCATACAGCACCTTCACAGAATGTAAAGTCTACTAGCTGTAAGTATTTTGCCCAGTGATGATCGGGTTGGGCAGCATCTCGAGTGGCATTCCTGATTTCCTGCCATACTGCAGTAATCGTTTACATTCAAGTGGGCAAATTCGCTGCTAGCTTCAGTATATCTTTGGTAGTCCAATGCTATCCTGCTCAATTAAGATAGGTTTGGGGATTGCATTTAGAGGTAATTTATTTATACAATTTGGTGGATGTCTGTGTGTATGTTGCATGGTAGCCACTCGGCAGATTCAACTTGCAATTTGATGCAATTTCATGATCTGTATGTAAAGTGGAAGACGTGTCTGCAAGAGTGCTTTACGAAAGCAGTATACCCTGCAGTACATCGCAAGGGGTCAAAACATCAGCCGACATCGGAGGCGACCTCCGCTGCAACTCCATCTGACCACTCACGTGTGATTTCATCAAAGGATCCATATAGCCTTAGCGAGACCAACCAAACACAAGGTTGCAAAGAGCATCCTCGCCTTTTTGGAGCGTGACGGACCAACAGTCCCGTCGCCTTCAGTAAGGAGTCCAAGTCTCCAGCTGATTCTGCGTGATGGACTTTGGGTTCAAGCAATGTACATGCACCTGGTCTGACAGGTCACTATGAGGCTGCAAAAACCTGATGAAATGCTTGAGTTCCACCTTCTGGTAAGGTGATGCAGCTTTGGAGGGATCTAGGAGAGATGTGCAAGCGCGTTGCAACCTCAGAGCAAACGGACAATCAGCTGATGCTGCGAATTTGGATGAATGCATGCACTTCAGGGGTTAGCCACTAAGTGACAACAATGTATTCACATATCGACTGCGAGCGATTTGAAGGCCTTCAAAGAACGGATGGAGGAAGCGTTTGTATCTCAGATCCGTGCGATCTATAGCAGCAAGTCTTGCCTCCACCTGTTGGACCCACGAGCATCATGCCGTGGCCTTGGAGTGGTAAAGAGTTGCAAAAGAAAACTGGAAACAGGAGAGGAAAAGAGCGATGGCCTCCAACCTACTAGCGATGGCCTCCAACCTTAACAGGAGAGGGAAACCTTTCAGGCCAGTCCAACATAGTCCAACTACAAATTTGCCAAGGAAAAGCTTCGCGTCGCAAACTGCGGCATGGCACATTGCCAAGGAAAACCCAAGACTTGGGATGTGACGCACTTGGATCATGTCCTTGGCCCAGTTCATGTCGCTTGTCCGCCCACTTGAACATCAGATAGCATGACTCCAAACTCGAAAGTACGCCAGGGATCAAAGAGTTCAAACTGCTTCTTGACAAAGTACGGCACAGGTTGAAGATTTTGAGTCAAACCTCAAAATGAACCAACTGCCGCTCAATGCCCATTCGATGCCCTTCGCCGTCACAAAAGGCTGAGCTCTGTCAGCTGTGCTGCCGACTCTCGGTGTGGCATGCCTCTTCCAGCCTTAGCAACATCCAAGGTCCGAGCATCCCGGGGGAACTGTAAAACCTTGTAAGACCTACTAGCGATGGCCTCCAACCTGCTAGCGATGGCCTCCAACCTACTAGCGATGGCCTCCAACCTACTAGCGATGGCCTCCAACCTACTAGCGATGGCCTCCAACCTACCAGCGATGGCCTCCACCCTAGCAGGGATGGCCTCCAACCTAATAGCGTCTTCCTTTCATCTTGGCTTAAGGCCGGCCATAATCCATCTGTGGTCGTTCAACCTGCCATTGGATAGAAATCCAACACTCTTGTCAATTCACATTGCAGCTATGCAGTTTCTAGCATGTCAACTTCGACTCATTGACAAAAGTGGAAACACGAATCTGGCCCCTGGGAAGAGATCGGAGATGATGTTCTCAAAAAGGGGCAGATCATCTTTGAGAAACTTGGGAACCTCGATAAGGCCAACAAAATAAGTTACAAAGTCGAAGCCTTGCTGAAACAAAAATGTTGAAAAGCAAAGAGTTGCTGCAAAGAAGTCCCCATCTCAGTAAAGCTGTGAGCTGTTAAGGCCATGTCATTGACATCTCGCAATGCCCGAAGCAAGATTTGAGACCTGATTCAAGAGCTCCAGATGATGTTCTGCATCTTTCTAGTGTCTTTACAGTAACTTTGGCACTTTGCACTTCTGGATGTTGATGCTTCCAGCCAGTCTCAGAATCCAGCTCACTCTGCTCTGGATACTGGCGTTTGTTAAGCCCCGCAGCTTCAATCACAGTTTTCACAGCACGCATTCCGTAGTCCTTTGTGTTCGGGATGAAAGCCGGACATCTGAGGAATCTTGCGATGCTGATGAACACTGTCATAACACTGCCGTGAAACACATTGGACGTATCTTGAAAACATGTTTGGCTATTCGCTGAGACTGAGAGGCGTAATGAGACTGCGCCGAGAGTTGCTCGCTGCAGAGTTGGAAAGTTGTGACCTGAGACGGGGATCGACCATGTTGAGGCCACTAAGCATTGGAACAAACATGTGTTAACCAACTCATAAACCTTCTCAACATAACAGGACTAGGGTGGATTGTTGCATGGCTTCAATTCCCTTTCCAAGCAATGGACCATCTTCTTGGCTAGGTGGCGGCCCTTCTCGAAGCCAAATGCATAGAAGCTGATCTCTCCAATGAGACCTTTGAAGAAGCAGAAAAGGATCAACGTTACGCAGGCTTAAAGTGTTAAAGGGTAAGATGAATGTATATCTAACTTGCCGCCGACCGTAGTCTGGAACCATCATTGCCTCGGCTCGACAACCCTTAAAGGGGTTGGCACATGTTCCCTAAACATCTATTAACCAAATGAATAGTGCAAGAGCTTCTTCAAGGAAAGCATGAGCTATCCTGTGTACAGTTACTAGAAGCGTCCTACTCAATATTTATAGCTACCAAATAGCTTACCTCTTCCGAGAGCGGCCTCCCTCCCTCTGCGCGTTAAAAAAAGAAAACATGTGAGGCTATGACCATGGGTCTAAAAAGTGCCGCCAGATTGTCAGGCAACTCGGATCGACCGGCCTCAGCCAGGTGCGTCAGTTTCAAAAGTATCACTCACCTCAACTGCCCTTGGGCGCGGGCATAGCCAGGGTTCATTGTGATGAACACGTTAAACCTGTCGAAATGCACGACATATCTGGCTGAAGAAGTGAGATAGCTGCGAGAGCTACAAAAGAATTTTTGGGCATGTGACGTTGGCTTCATGGTGATCAAAGTTGAGTCAAACCTCAGCAATGTGGCAAAGCTGGTCATGACTCCACCCCATCATAGGGCAAAATGAATAAGACACATGACCTTCCACTATGAGCTCCAGGTATCAAGCTCCAGTTCGCAGGTATCGTTGTAGGACTCCAAGGACTGCTTTGCGGTGAACAGCTGCAACCTCACCAAAGGTCGGCGTGATATGCGTCACACCATCGACGTCGATTCAAAAGCTGAGCGTGACAGTCTTCCAATGCTGGGCTCCCAGCAATTGTTGCGCAATTACGCTAAGCACTTCAATGTAGATGCGGTTGAACCTCATTGTGACTACGCCGGTCTAGTCTCGCAGGGAAACATAGCGGGTGCTACTTGGCTGCAGGCTCATCAAAGCAGCACCAAGCACCACTCGATGCCAGTCCTGTGAGTCTGTTGGGCTGGCGAGCAAGCCTTGTATAGCCTTGTGCTTGCATAGAATCTCAAAAGGATTCAAAAGGTCATATCGCTCGTCTGCTCTTTTCTCTTCTTGAAGGAGGCACGGGGGTTAAATGAGCGGACATTTAGATCTTGATCTTGACTGAAATAGGTGAACATATACATAACACGGAACCAAAGATGCTGGGGGTGGGAGTTTTCCAATTACGTTTAGCATAGCAAGAATGCCCCATTGGATTGCACATCTCAAGCAATCCAGTGAAGGCTCTGCCTTTGAAGAACTTGCCAACCATAAGGTAGTCCTGCGGCTTTTACAGCTGGGCACGAAGCCTGCCTTTAACCATGTGCAACGCGCTTGCAATCCACAGTTCGCATATCTGGCAACAGAATACTCTGTACAAGCAATGTCAAGTCATTTTTCTAGACTCTACACCAAAAAGAAAAATGAACACGGGTGAACACACAAAAACAATGAACACTCTGTCTGTCCATCTCGGGTGAGCAGTTGAACACGACACACCTAGGAGCAAATGAGGTAGAAAAAACATGGTACGAAAATCATGATCCCAACAGCAAATCGTATGATTTACAAGCGGCGGTCTTCATATGTGGTGATGGCGGCAACCATGGTAGTAGCAGTAGTAGTACCAATAACAGAAAACACAGTAGTAGCAGCAGCAGCAGCAGTCGGAGTAGGAGTACAAAGGAGTAGGGGTAGGAGTAGGAGGAGGAGGAGGAGCAGTAGTAGTAGTAGCAGTAGGTAGTAGGTAGGTAGGTAGGCAGGCAGGTAGGTAGGTAGGTAGGTAGTAGGTAGTAGGTAGTAGGTACTAGGTACTAGGTACTAGGTACTAGGTATAGGTAGTAGGTAGTAGGTAGTAGGTAGTAGGTAGTAGGTAGTAAGTAGTAGTAGTAGTAGTAGTAGTAGTAGTAGTAGTAGTAGTAGTCGTAGTAGTAGTAGTAGTAAAAGTAGTGGTAGTAGTAGTAGTGGTAGCAGTAGGAGGAGTAGTAGTAGTAGTAGCAGTAGGAGTAGTAGTAAAAGTAGTCGTAGTTGTTGTTGTAGTAGTAGTAGTACTGCTACTACTAGTTGTAGTAGTAGCAGCAGCAGCAGCAGTAGCAGTGGTTAGAGCCGGATTCGGAAACTAATCGGTCGGATTCTGAAACTAGGGTTCTGAAACTGGGGTTCTGAAACTAGGGTTCTGAAACTTGGATTCTGAAACTGGTATTCTGAAACTGGGGTTCTGAAACTAGGATTCTGAAACTGGGGTTCTGAAACTAGGATTCTGAAACTGGGATTCTGAAACTTGTATTCTGAAACTGGAAAGTCAGATTCTGCAACTGGTATTCTGAAACCGGAAAGTCAGATTCTGCAACTTGCCTTCTGAAACTTGCAACTGGTGATCTCCACATCATGCGACAGCGTGTGTGCCTGCGACATCACCTTCGAAGCACATCCAAACCAACGTCATTAGCCCCCCACCCAACCCCCCCACCCCCCAACCCCCCCTTGTCCCCATCGTGTGATCTCGACATCACGCCAACCCCCTCATCATTCACAAAGTTGCGGAATCCTAGTGAGGGAGTCCACAATGTTGCGTAATCCTAGTTGCGGAACGCCAGTTGCGGAATCCCAGTTGCAGAATCCTAGTTGCGGAATCCTAGTTGCGGAATCTTGACAGTTGCGGAATCCTAGTTTCGGAATCCTAGTTGCGAAATCCTAGTTGCGGAATCCTAGTTGCGGAATCCTAGTTGCGGAATCCTAGTTTCGGAATCCTAGTTGCGGAATCCCAGTTGCGGAATCCGACCAAACAGTTGCGGAATCCTAGTTGCGGAATCCTGCGCAGTTGCGGAACTCGACTTTATCCGCAGTAGTAGTAGTAGTAGTAGTAGTAGTAGTAGTAGCAGTCGCAGCAGCAGCAACAGCAGCAGCAGCAGGAGCAACAGGAGAAGGAGCAGCAGCAGCAGGAGCAGCACCAGCAGCAGCACCAGCAGCAGCACCAGCAGCAGCAGGAGCAGCAGCAGGAGCAGCAGGAGGAGCAGGAGGAGCAGGAGCAGCAGAAGGAGCAGGAGCAGCAGAAGGAGCAGGAGCAACAGCAGGAGCAGGAGGAGCAAGAGGAGCAAGAGAAGCAGCAGCAGCAAATACATGATGTACGTAGTTAAGGAGGTCGTTCCAATGTCGTTTTGGATGTCGTCCGGAGGGTCGTTCCCCAACTAAATAACACATTCCACAAAGACAGAAAACATCAGAAATAGCTGCGGCGGTGCGTGGAATTCTGAACGAAGGATCCCACAATACTACTTTACATCAATCCACCTTTTTTTCTGGCTCAAATGTACGATCTTATATAAGCTTTTCCAAAGTAAAACTTGTCTTGGGCAGTCCCAACAGAATTGCGTGTCTGTATAAGCAATAATTATAAGCATCACTTGCTTGATCTCCTATCATCTCCTCTCTACATGCTAAGCTTCAAGCTGCTTGGCCAAAGCTTTTGCGAGATCCTTCGTCGTCTCCGTCTTGCCAGTGCCTCCAATTGGCCGATCGCTCCGGTTTGCGCTAGGCTATGCCGCTACGCTCCGGTGAGCATGGCGCTACGCGCCTGCAGGTCCTGCAGGAGCACCACCCAAGTTCAGACTCTGGGCTCCCATCAGAGTCATATAGCACCTGCCAAAAAACAAACTCAGAACTAGACTTCTCAGCCTTAGATGGTCATCTGCGGCACATGTCTGTAAGAGGTGTGATGACCAGCCGGAAAGAGTTTCCGAGGTACTCATAGCCTCAGAACAGCTCATTTACTTACCGCATGTTGCAGCTGCTTAAGGAGTCAAAGCTTAAGGCTCTCGCCATACGGGAAGGGAGTCTGCACCATACGAACCCACAGATTCTCAGTTGACCTATCATCTACCTGCATGAGAGATGAAGACAGGCAGAATTTTGCGAAGAAAAATACTTCTTCAACAAGGAGCAACCTGTACTGATGCCAGAATGTGACAAACTGCAGCTGTATAGCTGTATTATTAAGGGCAATGTGACAAGCTCAAGTTAGACATCCCAATGGACATGTTGCACGACCCCACCAAGTGTGGCTCGGTACTGCTTGACGAACTTCACAAGAAATGATTGTAGCAAGCTTAGTACCGCAGTATTGGGCTCCAACCTACTAGCGAAGGCCACCAACATACTAGCGATGGCCTCCGAACTTGTAATACCCATAAGTTCCATTTTGAAAGCTTGGCCTCCCAGTAGTACCGCAATTGAGAGATCCACTCAAAGGAGAAGACGTCGGTCTGTAGCAGTTGTTTTCAGTGCTTGCCAGTCAGATTTTCATCAGTCTTGGCTTCCAACAATGTTGTCTTTGGCCATCTTTTCAACAGTGTCCTGATGTGACTGATGAGAAGAACCTTTCGACAGTGGCCTCTGTCTGACAGAACCAAATCCTTCGCATGTACATCGATCACGATCAAAGCGCCGATACTCATTCGCCTTGTTTTGGGCAGCAACAATGCTCTGCGTCTGCGATCATCTACTGACATATGTGCCATGAACACATATGAACCCTTTGGAAATTGCTGCGTGCACTCTACCGAATCTGGACTGGATGCATCTGCATGTGCTTTGCCCACACTCTGCGGCTCTCACTGCAGCTTTGAGATGTCACCACGAACCAGTCGCACCAGGCCCATTAGCCTCGAGGAATGCATCGGTAAACACACCACAATCATGTGAGATGTTGACGGGTCTGCTTGGGGTTTTGGCTGGTCGGAGAGCTTTGAGAAGTAGTCAGACAAGGCCTGAGCAAAATGCCAAAGAGATGTGCATTGCTAAACGCGTCTATGTTGTTGTCCAGGTACATTAAATTTACACTCGTTTGACTCATTTGCATCTAGCCACAGTTTTGCAGCTTGACTTTTTCATGAGCAAGGTGGCGGACTGCAGCGTCAATGGCCTCTTCCACTTCAGCAGTCCAATGCACCTGGAAAAAGAAGCAACTTTCATACGTAAAGTAAGTCCATTCTCCAGGGCAATCATAGCAAGAATTTCAATGCCGGTTCAAGAATCTGGATCACTTGACAAGGCCTGGCTAGAGTTCAGACACACTTGTCCAGGCTGCTTGAGCACCTGAGCTGAGGATGCATGATGAGACCCACTGCTTCCACCTATTAGAAACCGCCTCCAACGGCCTCCAACCTACTAGCGATGGCCTCCACCTAATAGCGATGACTCATTGCTTCGACTGCGAAGGATCTGGCCCATTCTGTCCTTGGAGTATCGATGTATGTCTCAACGCCGATCTTTATGACCTGCACCAACGGAAATGGTCCTGTGCCTGGTGCATGATCGTGAATGAAATGTCTGTTGCCTCCCGAATCGCTGCCAGCATCTGATTCTCAACTTCGGTCATCCATGTTTCAACCTGCATTGATACTTGACGTCTATTAATACATGGCTCAAGACGCGCAGAGCTGATCTGACACAGCTGAGCCCGTTGAGCCCTCAGCATTCTTTCCAGTTGTGTGCACCGGGCTAACCTTCAGTCTGGTGACTTTCCATAAAAGAGAACAAGGTACGACGAATCAAAAAGCATAGGAGCAAGGACGCTACTAGTAGCTCCTGGCCTTACTATATTATTATATACTAGGAGCAAGAAGCTACTAGGAACGCTAGTAACAATAGTAGCTATTTGCTAGGAGAATCATAAGCAATAAGTGCCGAACGAAGTCAATGATCTCACCTTCTTTAGAGACCATCTGTGTTGCTGACCTTCAATGAGCCATTAAATATGTGTGTTAAGCAAAGAAAACAAGCATCCGAAGACGCTGGCGTTCCACATCTGTCAACAAATGTTCTTCAGCTGATGGTTCTCTGCCTGCACTGACTCGTTTCAAGTGCGCATCGGCACATCAGCTGCTGGGGCTGAAGCAAATCGGATGTGAAAGTGAGCTTCTTCATGGCCTCAAAAACCTGAGTGGAAACTTTGGTTTGGGGTATTGCATGGTGCATCAGTATGGTGGTCACATGTTCCAAGAACCAAGTGCCTTGGAAAGGAAGGGCTGCACTCTCAGCGGGTCCTCTCATTTGTTGCGAGAGCAGTACCACTGAAATCGTCAATGTGAATGCCCCTGCAGGAAACCATCCCAACTTAATCAATTACATGGTTCACAGTTTAGAGTATAACATGGCTTTCACACTGCAAATGCTCAGGAGTGAGACGTTTGGCAGTGCAAGTCTTATGACGTTAAAACATATCAGAGAATATGTCCAGAGATTCTTCCACAATGTGTTGTCCTTTGTCTGCGACAGGATTTCCAAAAGCTCATCCTTAGAGAGGCAATGAACGACACCGAAATCTGAAACATCGCACCAATGTCTGGTGGAAGAGCTTCACCAAATCTTTTGACATGTACATCTTCCCAATCTATCTGATCACTCTCCTTTTCAAAATCCCAAGGTTCCCCACGTTGGACAGAAAGTAGAAGCGAGCGAAGGCTCCGCGCTTGGTTTCCAAGTAGTCGTCCAAGCCTCGATGATCGCCACAAGGCGCCAAAGTCAATCTTCAACTTGTGGAGGGAAACGTACTCGGCTCGGTTGGAGGCCATCGCCATTAGGTTGGAAGCCATCGCTAGTAGGTTTGTTTCCAAGAAACAGGTTGCAGTTGTGCCTGCTACGCATCCTGAAGTCCTGAAACGAATCTAGACCTGGAAAATGTCGATCCATCTTCTCCAAGACTGCTGCCTTTTTGTACCATGTCCAAGTCCGCATTGGCATTGTTCCAGGTTTCCAGCAACCCTTCCTGCGCAGTTCAAGCACAAACAAATGTTATTCTAAGCACATTTTAAAATGAACTGTGAAGAACAACAATCCATCATGAATGATGGAGTTACGTTTCCAGTTGCATTGGTTTTGAGGATCGGGTTGCTGCTGACTTGTGATTGCCAACATCTTAGGAGCGCGCCATTGAACAGGCTTGCAAGGCAGCTCCGTTCTGATGAAGGCGTGCCATGGTCTCAGAGGATCAGGTAAGCTTTGCCAACTCAAAAATCACAGCAATTGCTTTGTCGGGCTATAAATCTACTGGCCTGGCGCCATTTGCTGTCAACCAAGCGAAACTTTTTGCCTAAAAACTCGTACAGCTGCTCTCTGCAAAGCTGAGCAAAAGCCTCGTGTTTACCGTGGCCTTCGGTGGGAAGCTGCTTCATGATGTCGGGCGAGTCAAAGATTGGCTGCAAATACATCCACGCCTCAGAGACAAAGTCCATCAACGAAGTGTTCTCACTATTTGCATCTGCAGAAGCGTTTCGAACACACCAACTATTCACTGCAGCAGCACCTCATATCTAAAATGCAAATATTTACATAAATGGAATCTGGAGTGATGGAATTAATGCCTCCTGAATTTCAAGGACCTCAGCGATGGACCCGCTGCACTTTTAGCCATCCATCCAAGCACTCGGACACGTACAAGAGCTTCTCTGCCCAGGCCTAGGCTTAGAATGTTCAACATGCCGCTTGCAGAATGAACACTGAGATCATGACATCAATATCTTCCTTGAAGGGCTTATTGAAGGGTGAGAACTGCATAGCCTGCCGCAAGATCTGAAAAGCTACAACAGTTCTGAGCAATGGCATTGGGTTGGTGGGTGGGAAATCTTGCTTATCTAGTGGAGAGTTCGCAAAACAATGCAAAAACAACCCATCCATCACTCTGCTTGATATGTCAGTGGTGACCCACTTTCAAGCATTTTCAAGCTGTGCTGGCGAATCCTTGAGAGTCAAGGTACTTCCGGAGGCGCTGTTCACCTAAAGAGCGCAGCTCTGGTGCCACCGCCACGATGCGCCTTTTGACTTCACTCACTTCCAATGGCTGAAAAGTCAGCAAAGACTCGTAGAGCTCTTTGTCTTTACGGATGGCCTCTGCAATCAACTCAAACTTCTTCTCCTCGGGGCTGATTGGTGGACTCACTGCAGAGCTTGCTGACTGCACGGATCGTGGTGTCTCAGCCTTTGCCGCTTTAGCTTTCTTAGGAGTCTTGGGTGTCTCAGGCTTTGTTTTGTCCTTTTCGGTTTTCTCCTTGCGCGCTCTTTTGGGTTTGTGCGGAGTTGGAGCTTCTCGAATCGAGTGCAAGAACGCAGTGCCGCCGTCGAGATAATCCACAATGTCGTGAAGCCTGCGGATCATAAAGTCCCTGCTGGAGCTTGGCTTCAAACCGAAAAATTGCATCCATTCCGAAAGTTCTTCGTCTGTCATCAACTCTGGCTGGAGCAATCCCAAATCCGATTGCAGTGCCTCAGATTGAGCTTTCTTGGACTCCTGGACTGTCTCAGCTTGCGTGGCAACGAATGAATCGAGTTCCAGGTCCAAGTCCGTCTTGTCCAAGGCAGCTCTGATAACTTCAAGCTCTGCTTCAAGGTCAATCTCCGGATTTGCTGGGACAGCCTCAAATTCCTTCTCTGGAATTGCATCACTTGATCGAAATCTATCCTCGTTCTTATCGTCAGAGGAATCTCGACGGAGTTTCTGTCTGATTTGCAGCCTCTTGAGCAGACTTTGTTTTCCTGACCGTGGCCCCTTAGGGCTCTCGGCCATCTCCACCTCTTCATTTCTTTCAGAACTTCTCTCATCGAGTTCAACTCTCTCCCGCTTGGAGTTCACTTCCTCCCCAGGGCAACTACCGTTCTCGGGCTCATGGAGAAGTCCACGTTTCCACCGTCGGCTTGGTCTGATGGCCATACCACCTGACAGAGCAGTTAAAGACAAGTTTGTGCGTGTGTCTACGTGTGCGTGTGCCTGTGAGTGTGCGCGTGTCTTTCCTAGCTTGATCCAGCTAGCCCAGCAAAACAAGCTTTCTTGGATAATATAGTCTATGTACAGTAAGCTTGTTGCTGCCATCGACAGAACCCCTTTGATTGGCTTTGATAGCTCATTCTTTGTAAGTGCTGGTCAGTACTTCTCGTGCCTGGAACAGCTTCTTGGACCGACTGGCAACTGCTTGGCAAGGCTTCGTCTTCGACGGACTCGTTGGGTTCCGTGCAAGACTCCCGGGGAGAACCTCTGGCCGGGGCCTCGGCTTCTTCTTCATCACTGCTGACCAGGATTGTAGGTGCCAAACTTGCATAGAGAGCACCAATGTCTGTCATTGAATCTTTATCACCTTGCCCAAAATCACGGAATTCAGAACTGTCGAACTCCATGTTCAGCTGAAGAATCTTCCAGGTTGGCAAAGATTCCAAGTCATCAAGTCATCAAGCTAGCTTGCGGGGTCACTGGTCAACTAAAATAATTAGTTCTTCATGATCACAACTCACAGGGCAGGTTTCATTAGGTTTACTCACATCTGAAGCCGTTGAACTGTCTGGAGCAGTTGGAATGGTGAGCGCCCTATCAGACCGCATCGTTGACAAGTTGTTGCTGTTTATCCTACTCCCGGGCGTGTTTGCCTACAATACAGAATTCTCTCATGAATTGTCCGATCAGAAACCTGGTACCTGCTTCAACTATCTGAAGCTGGAGCCGCAGGGGCCGGGACTTCAGCAGGAGCCGCACAACTGTGACGAGGCTGCATGAGGCTGCGCAACCACACAAATGCGAATGCGAAGCTTCTCAGCTGCGAAGCTTTTTCTCCGGATGCGGACAAGCTTCTTGTTACTAGTAGCGATGGCCTCCAACCTAGTAGCTTCTTATGTAGGACAAAAAACAATTGTTGCATTATGTTGCATTGTTTAATTATCCAACAGTGACCAATTGTTGCCGTCGCGTTATGAAGCAGGATTCCCCACGGTGGAAGCATGCCTGCGTGATGACAATCTGCTCGTCGACCAAAGCAATCACCTCATCTGCACCTGCACAGAAAAGGTGTCTGACATATTGTGTCCCACACAGGGTCACCACATGGTTGTCAGGAATTGCCGTCAAACGGCCTTTGAGAATGTAAGTCTGGGTGTTGCGGTATGGCCTTGGTGAGACTCACTGCCCAATGGAAATGCTGCTTCGAGGAACCGACTTTCAGCTCCAGTTCTTCGAACTTCTGAGCACTGGACTCGCTACAGTCAAACTTCATGTTATCCCACCTCGAGAACGTTTACACACACTTCTTTCACGAGAACCGTCCCGTTGATTTCTGTGGGGTGAGAAAAGCCCCAACTTCGCGTGTTCCAAGGGATTGGCGCATTGATCATGCTTGTGAGCTGCGTCTCGATGGACAGCTCCTTCCCGCTCTTCTCACCAATATCGTTGATCCTGCGTCGAAAAAAGACTGAGGCCAGCATCCCTGTCGAACTGAACCGATCGAACTGCAACTTGGCACCGCACTTTGACACATGTTCAAGCATGCCTCATGCAGGGAAAGAATGAAGCTCGCGTATAAATCAGAAAAAGTTGATCAGGCGCACCGATGGAAACAAAGTTCTTCAGCGTGAAGTCCTCCATCTCGGGGCCTCGCACTGTCTACGGTCAGGCCACTTGCTTGGAAAGGCAAGTGAAGAACAATTGCCAAAATGCAAAGTTCCAATTTTTAAGGCCCCAGCTCACATCTTGACCAACCAATTCGCTGACCTGGTCAGACTTGTCCACAAGATACTGGAGCAACATGAATAGTGCGAGTGCTTCTTCAAGGAAGCTCCCCCCGCGGCAACTTCCTTGAAGATGCGTGAGCTAAAACGTGTCCAGCTAGTAGCAGGTTACCTAGTAATTGGTTTGTTTAGCTCTTTAATTATAAGGAGCAGCTTGATTAAGTAGGGGCGGGCTTTAAAAAGCAAAAAAGGAACCGTTGTGCTAATTTCTGTGCCTCTCTCTCCTATTTACCATGACCTGCGCCCAGTGCCGCTCGCGCATGCCCGCATTTCGAAGGCCAGTGACCTTACCAAAAAGAAGTGCATACTTTCAACTTTCCAGAAAGCAAAAATATGGAGTATGACTGTTTTCATTTCATCCTATGGGATCTTGCTAATTTTCCACCGCCCAAACACCAAGGAAAGGGTAGCAATGAAAGTGACATCATGTGTCCTTGTGTTAATTATGGTTGCCAAATTCAGGTTTGCACGATTGGAAGGTACGGCTGAAATGCATCAATTTGTTCCTGGCCAAAGAATGCACTGCCTGCACAAACAGAATACAAAAGACTCTCGCAAGACTTCCAGCCTTGATGTCTCTTGCAATCTTCAGCACTTTTCCGGCATCTTCGCGCTTCTCCAAAGCCCTTACCTTCCATGTTCAACATAGTTCAACTCAATATAAGCTTATGCATGCGGAGTATCTCCGGCACTCGTTGTCCTATCCATGAGGTGCCCACCGTCTTGAACAGCGTCTTGGCACCAGACGTCACCCATTGTTCACCTGCAAACTTCACCCATTTTGCCAACAAAGAAACCGAAAACTTGGCTCTGCATGGCTCTGCTATGTCGTAAGCAGGGCAGTATCGCAGTATTTGGCATCAATCTCTTGGAATGGCCCATTCCTAAGTTGGACAATTGGCTCAGACTGTCAAGGTATCATGCATTCTCCACTCCAAGACTTGGGCCTTGGTTGTTTCACACATCTTTGTTTAGAAAGGAAACATTTAATGGTGTCACGTCCAATGATTCTTTGGCTCTCTCAATATAGTTCTTTTGTCCTGCCTGTTTGCAGGCTTATAAGTCTTGGGCATCCATTTTTCGGAGTCTTCAATCCAATGATAGGCAGTGACCTTCGTCTTCAGTGACAAGCGGGCGTGTCTGTCTAGAATGGGCGTGTCTGTGCCACAACGTCTGAGGTCAGTCTCAACATGTCTCAACAGGGTTCACCGAATAGGCCGAATAGGGCTGCTTCGAACCAGTCCTGTGTAGTGCAGGCGATACTGATGGTATCTTTCTTTTCATTCTCCACCCGTTCTATCATTATAACGTTGCAAATACTGCAACATGTCAAGTAGAGTGCCAAATGATATACAATACTTTCGGACACCTTTTTACAATCTTACAATATATATATATATACATTAGTAATATATGTATATATAACTTGTCAAGGCATGTATCACATAACCTGCCAGAAAGTATGACAGAAAATACCTCCTGCAATACGCCAGATAGTATGTCAGCATGTTTACCAGAACATGGTTCAGTGCGTATAATATGCCATCTTCAATATCAGTGCACATGTAACAACATATTCCGCTAGGCTAGAAATGTCAAAGCATGTCACAACGCAAGAGGATACAGATGGGCACCAGCACACCTATCAATGCATATGCCAGCTCATTTGTCAGTATAGTATGTCAGTACTTATCTCCTTCCTTCTTCTAAATCACGTACGGGGTGGGGACTACTCATTACTCAAAGCACAGCAAGTCTGTAAGTAGTTACTTTAGTTCTTGCGTCCTTCCTTTCTTCCTTTTTCTCTGTTCCTTGATGCTCTGCGTAATTGCGCTCAACTGATTCTTGGCAAGGGCTCCAGGGCAATGGCCAGCTTGGAGCTTTGCTGAGGCTGCAGCCCACAAGTTGGAGAAGGGCTCCCACTCCTGTAGAGTATAAACAAAAGTGCGAACGAATTCCAAAGCACCGTCACCCCAAAGAAGCATGTGTCGATGAAAAAAATAATGAAAAAATCTCTATTAAACAAATAGTATTACAGAACTATATTATATGTATAATGACTGATCTTGGGGCATTGGCCTCCATTCCCGTAGCGAGTAGCATGCACTGTAGTACTGTGTCCATGTGACTGAACTGCTACAGTGCCTTTTGCAGCTGCTGCAAATGGCTGTAGTCAGACGATTCTTGCCCAAATAGTGCCTATCCAAGAAGAAGCGGTGAATGCTGAGCACAGTGCAGGTGCAACCAAGCCCAATCAAATAGTGCTCAGTCTGTGCAAGAGTGTCTGTGCAAGAGTGTATAACTTCATAAAATGAATAAGATGCTTTTATCAGGTCAAAGAGTGTGCCTCGCGAGAATTGAACAGCTTCGCTTGTCCACTGGCTTGCTTCAGTCTCTCGTTCACACCTGGTTAGAACACGCAACCTTTTTGCCACGTGTGTCAGGGTGGTTTTTACCGATTCCCGCATAGAAAATGTAAGATCCAAGAAGCAAGAATCTGTATATGCCAAAGCAAAGCTCAAACTTTGTCGTCTCGTCTCGTCCGGTTGGACATGTCTCGGGGCTTCGACTCTCTACATTCTCATGGATCTCCTGAAATGGGCCATGCATTCGCTGCATACTCATGGGATTGGGGACATTGTGCTGGATTCTTCCACACTCAGTGACAAGCAAGGTCAAAGAAAAAAACGATACAAGCTGGGCAAACTGGCCTTGATGTTGGCCAAGTTGGAGTACTGGGAAAAGGTATCCACGATTCCGGCCTAGCTTCTACAGGCTCTGTAATGAAGCGTCTTGGTTTGTCTTTGTGAATGACATCTGTCATCTGCACATCTCCGCCGGCCGATCATGGTCCAAGCTTCACACCAGATCTACAAGATTTTCATCGAAGTCGGTTTGCTCCTGAAAGTTTGCAGAAATCACTGTGCAAATTCACGACGGCGTCTACTAATACTACATCATTCTCTTTGGGCCTGCTGCATTTCTTTAAGGTAGCCTTTCTCTGCCTTGGCTAGGTCTTGCTCCACCTGGCCAAGAAGGTACAAGCAAGGAAAACCATCGCATTTATGCGAGTAACCAAGGTGCCAAGTTGCCTGTGCCATGAGGTCAAAGGTCTGCTTTGGGCACGCAAAGACCCGCCAACGCTGGTAAGCATCGTCCTTCCAAATTGAAACCATATAATATATCTATATATTATGTATAGACTGTATAGAGATATCGCTTTATTTATCTTTATTTCCCCTTAAGATACGTCAAGCTCAGAATGTTCTACGCTCTTTGAACAAAGAGGATCGAGCACTTTGAGCACTCGTTTGGACTGTTCTGTTCATTGCATCTGCCATCTGTCAAGACTGTGAGAATCACCGAGCGCCACACACTGGTGAGCTTAACTTCGAACCCTTCAAGAACCTGCTTTCAGCAGTGCTGACAGAGAGCATGGCATGTGTTCATCTTCACACAGGTTCCTAGTTCCTCTTCGCACATCTGCTTCACCAAGACACTGTAAAGATTTGAATGCACTTGGCAATGTCCGGAGACATCCTGCAACGATACGCTTCTTACTCTTGGAGATCTCGCCACACATGATACTTGCAGTGGACTATACATACAATTACGTACTGCATGTACCAAGAATAATGTTTATCTGGGGTAAGGACTTTCCAACCTCACCTGGCACACCGCCTCATGACAAAGACAATGAAAACAAACTGCAATCAAATTCTCTTGACTACTAGGAACAAGGACGCTACTAGGGGCTCCTGGCATCGCTACTAGGAGCAATGCAAGGAAGCTACTGGCCTTATTACTAGGAGCAAATAGCTAGTAGTAACAAGAAGCGTTCGAAATCATTCTGTCAATGAATTCGCCACTGGGAAATGTGCTCATGAACTCTCGTAGTTCCGTGGACTGCTCAATGTTCTTCGGCGCCTCAGCACGTTCTTCGATTCTTTTCTTTAATCATCTTGATTCCATGTCTTTAAGCGACAGAAGAACAGAAAGCAATCGATTATGTCAAACCGGTTTGTGCTTGCAATATCGTGTAATCAATTTCTGCCAGGCCTTCCGCAATTGTGCGAAAATGCCCTGGAACGTGTCCTGGCCGGCGTGAACAGCCTCTTATTGGACCAAAACAAAAAAAACACATTATCCAATTTAAGTAGTAGGCACAATATGTGCAATATGCCCGTGGGGCGCTGTGATATCGTCTGTCTTTCTAGTTTGCCGCTTGCCGTTGGGAGGGCCAAACATCGCTGGGATGGCTGCAACCTCTTGAGCTGAATCCCGAAATCGTTGCAGCAGCATATCTTCCTCAAAAAATACTGCAGCAGCAGTATTCAAAAAAAATAAGCGAAACAAAAAAACGGAGACGTTCTTTTGCCCCAAAGAAGGCTGAGAATTTGCCCCAGACCAGCAGGTTGCCCCAAGCCACGACGAAAATCAGAGCTTCGGACCAAAAGTTCCACAATCTTTCGATGTCTGCTGGCCTGATGTCACGGAGCTGTGGTGGGTGTTTTCCAGGTTTTGGGCATCAGTGAGGTTTTCCTTGATTCACTCACTGTCTACAAATGTCTAGCAATGACTGAGGCTCTGACCAGAACCTTTCGGATTTCGGAGCAGTGTATTTCAAACAGCCCCACCACCTAGGAAACGAGTCATGGCTCTGTCTTTGCAGAGAAAAGCCTGCGTACTGAGACGAATGCAGAAGAGTCTGGAATGGCATCCAATACTTTCTGCCTTGGGCTCTCCATAAATAAATACAAACTCGAAATTGATTGGCCTAGTCATGTTCTGATTCACAAAATTGAAGAAATTTAAGTGAACCAACAACCAGCTCAAGCTTCCAACTCCTCATCGATGTGCTCCAATATGAACTGCTTCGCCCTTTTCAACGGTGCTCGATGAAGAGGAAAAAGCACGGCATTGGTTCACAATGATTTACGTCTTGGGCCAACGACTCATCCGTGGAGATTTCCGCCGCCGCCTTTTCTTTGACCTAACAGAGGCTCCAAACACGAAAAATATATATGATTCATGATGAATGCGTTTGAGACTCATAGGACAAAGGATCAGAACTGATGAGTTCTGCATAACTACGCTACAAAGTACGTAAGACCTTGCTTAGAGGGCCACATACTCTGCGGGATCGAGGCCTCAACGCAGCGAGTGTACGTTGAATCAGCTGAGAAACCTGTATAGTCCCGGTCTTTTTGACGAACTTGTGGAACTTCCAAGTGTTTGCAGTTTTTGACAAACTTGACAACTAGAAACGTTCATGCAACATCATGCGGCTTGAGGCCATTGCGTAGAAGGCTTTGGTAAGGCTCGAAAAGCTGAATGAACCTTCGACGGGCGAGGCAACAAATTATCCAAAAGCGTAGTTCTGGCTGGTTAACAAATTGCAAATTGGTTGGGGGCTGGGGGAGGCAATTCTAAGATCAGAGACCTAAGAAACAAAAGGTAATTACTATGGACTATGAAAACAAAGCAAAGGACATTCTTGTGACCCCTGTTCGTCACCTGGCCATGCTTTCAGATTCTAATAAAGTTTTCTTTTTTGGGATCGTACAAGTACCATTTAGGTCTTGATATTCCTACGAATTGAGTTGGGGTGCAAAGCCAAGTAGTAGGTGCCATGCAACATCTAGGAACTCTCTATCTAGTTCATTCGCACAGTGTTCGATTCAAAGTTAGGTGAGCATAAAGCACTCTATACACTACATCAGTGAATAAAGACAAACCGCTCACTGTCTCACTCACAACAATTCACAACATAAATCTATGCACCAGACTCTCCAAGCGCAGGTAATGTCTTCTCCAGCTTGGCTACCAGCAAGTCTCTGCGATAGACGACCTGGGACAGTGGAAAATCAAGCTGTTGCACTTGTTCCAAATAGCTTCTTGTTCCTAGTAGTAAGGCCAGGAGCGCCCCTAGTAGCGTCCTTGTTACTAGTAGCGATGCCCTTTGTTACTAGTAGCGATGCACTTGTTCCTAATCCGTTTTCGTCTATGAGCTGAGAGCCGATGCCCAAGGCTCAGTGACTTCAACCGTGCTTAAGACCTGCAACAGCAACACATGTTAAGCAAATCAAATATATCAATGTTCTTTTCAGAAGACACCCAAACCACAGCCTGCTTGTGGACAACTGTTCGGAAAAGCTGCGGAACAACCTGGGTATTGTCAGTGTGGACACTAAATATATTGTAGCTCGAGGCTCAATTGCAGACCTCAAAAAAACAAGAATCCACCTGAGTCGGCTCCCAACAACTCTTGAAACCTCAGGGTTTCTGGCGAGCGCATCCAGCTGTGGAACATCCGCAAGGCTTTGAAGCCTCGATGCGAGGATTTGTCTGGTGCACTGCGATGGCAACAGACAAAAGAACCTACATTCTTGAAAAAAGGAGTATTGTCGCGGTGCAGTGGCTTTTCTCTTTTTCTTTTGAATACGATTTCTTTTTTCTTTCTTCCTTTCTTTGTGAACCATAAGGTGAGCACCCCTGGTCCAGCACTTTCTTGCACACGTCGACTACCTTTATCCATGCGGGCTCAACACGCACTCAAAGGCTTGACGAAGCACAATCAAACGCACATCCTCAACAGAATCAAAACATATGTGCAAAAGACTTGCCATCCTTTGTGGCAATAATATATGGCGACAAATTATTGTGTTGATGTGGCTTCATGTGTCTTGCAACCCAAAGAAAATCATCCACAGTGAAAGACATTGAAAGACTATGCTGTAATATGCTGTAATAATACTAGAACAATAAGCTACTAGGAACAAGTGCATCGCTTCTAGTAACAAGTGCCTTACTAGTAGTAACAAGAATTAGTAATAATACTTGTAATTTCCACCAATGCTGCAGCCTCCAGGCCGTCCCCTTCGGCGTTCTTCAGTCACGACCAATGGAACAAAATCGGCCTTATCTCATTAGCTTTATTTAGCGTTTCTCCAAGACTTGTCAAAACATGTCGCCTTTGTGATTCTGACGGGCGCTGTTGCCAACCAAAAGGGGCAAAGCAAGTCCACGGCTGACTCTACTTGAGGAGGGCAGCTTTCTCTCATGAACTCCACTCCTTTGCATTTGAGTCACTGTTAGGTCTTAGGCCTACATGGCAGGATGCTCCACGAGTGTTGGTGTGTTCGTGTCACTGATCAGAAGCAATTTGAAGCAAGATGCCAGGCCTGTGCCCCGTCAGAGGAGTACACAAAGTGCTGTTTATCCTCGCCTGGAGTCGATTTGTGTCAATAAGCCCGAGCAGAGGTACAAGAAGTTTATATAATGTGCTTGCTCAAAAAAAATGTTAAACACATAAAGACATGTCTAAAGGTCTAAAGAGAAAAAGAACACTAAAGAAAGAACGGTCTACGAAAAAAAGAACGGTTTGAGTGTGATTCTCTGAGTTTCTTGCTGTGACGAAGCTCCAGGATAAACAATCCCTCTTTTGGCCTTGGGGCTGAGCCATCATGGAAAAAAAACATTCAAAACCATAACGATTCGAACACTTTGAAGAAGAATCACATGACAGGTCGATATCTAAGCCACAAGCTCGCGACATTGACCAGCTTGAGGATCTACAAAACCGTCACCGACAGCAATAGGCCCCACTGCTGTACTGGCACCTGAGCGAACAGCAGCAAGCAATCTACAGTACAAAGTTTGATGTTTGATGATGCCATATACAGATTCTTGGAGTAGGCAGGCACAGACTGGCCAACGTTTTGTCAAAGCTGCACACTGCTATGCTTGCAGCTCCTGTGGCTGTTGTCTGTTTTCCTGTATCATTGTTCGGTGTGGGCGGGATAATTAATTAATGGTGATGCTTGCTCATAGTAGCTCTTCAGTCACCAGAAATATTTCTCCGCAGTTCACAGCCATGAACCTGAATCGCGCTTGTCCAAGCTTTCCCAATAACAGAGTAAGATTCCCAGCAATATCAGTGTTCGGAACTCGTCTCCGACGTCTCCTCCTTGTTCTCCCTAAAGACCATCTTGTGAGGTGTCCAAAGCTATGTTGGTTTCTCTGCAGTTGGCTTCCCTCTCAAAACAAGCGGCCGTTTGAGCTCTGGCCACGCTTGGATAGGAGGAACACATCCATGAATGCACTTGCAGCCTGTCCGTCGCACAGCTATGATCCCCGAAACAATATGTCTTTTACAAAGACATTCTCTGAAAAAGGACAGCCCTGCCTTGTGAAATAAACGAGGCGGTGCTGTCTCTGTACTTGGGTCTGGAGTTTCGAAAATGCTCTCAACTTGCAAGAGGTCCTGCCTGAGATAATGCGGTAAGCCAGAGACTGGAAATCGAAGACTCGGTCTAAGCTACGGACACATCAACTTGAACGGGGCAGTACCTTCCAGAAACAAAATTGTGTTGTTCTAGATTGACTGAAAAATTTACAGTACGACAACTTATCACTCTCCTAGATGAAGCACTGTTCATACTGCGTGAGTCCCTGCCTTTCCATGCTTTCGCAGTACTGTGCTACAGAGTCCAATGCAAAGTACCGCAATGTGTCCTGCAAATAATAGAGTCAGACTGGTGGAGGATTCCGCCTGATTGTTTTCTTCAGAAACTGGGAATGTGTGCCTGCATGATGAAGCGCAGGACAGACAATAGTTTTCGCATTTTGCCCTTGCCAGGAAGAAGAAGCATGACATCATGACATCATCACGACACATGATTACATCTAGAGCGTGTTTGCCTGGCGGTAGGTGTCTGGATTGGTCTCGTGAATGGAAAACCATCCCTTCCCCACCTCATGCAGCACAAAGCCATGTGTTCCAATCTTAGAAAACAAATAGAATCAGCCAAGATGCGTTCGAAAAGTGTTGTAGCATGATCTTCTGTAGCTTGTTCACCTGGCACCACAAATGCACGAAGAGGACCACAAAGCTGCGACAAACAGGGAAGTGTTGCCCAATGTTCTTTGACCCGCTGTGACCTTGCAGCCCAAAATGAACAACATATATATGATAAACGATATGTGTGTTTTATCTCCCCGTTATATATATATATATATTATATGTCTTGATTACAGTAAGATTCTTGGCTCATGACGTAGCTGTGATCACCGCTTTCTGTAGTTGTGCAAAGTAGTCCAAACGTGTGGCCTGGTGTTGGCAGTTGAATATGCAGCGGCCAAATGACATGAACTGTCTGGCAGCCTCGGTGTATCTGATGTTGTAGATGCATTGGGATAGCAACCACAGGCACTCTTCAGCAACAGCCACCTGCAATATCCACTTGCAACGGCCACCATGATTTGTTTTTTCGCAACATTCTCATGAAGTCCAAGCAAGGACTTCAACACGCTGAGAAGTCCGCATTCGTGCTGACGACTTCGGGCTTAATTAGAAGAGATGCAAAGCCTCAGCTCTGCGTGGCTACGAAAGCAACATGGACACATATGAACAAATATGCCTGAACATGACAACTTAGGGGCGCACAAAATGATGAGAACGTGTCGGTAAAGCTGTACTCTGGCACAGGCCACAAGGAAAACATTGGCACCGGCCTGGAATTGCAGCAACTGCCTAAAGGCCTAAGGAATGATGGCAACTGGACTAGTAGCGTTCTTGTTACTAGTAGTAATGCCAGGAGCTACTAGTAGCCTGGCTCCTAGTAGCGATGCCCTTTGTTCCTAGTAGCGTTCCTAGTGATAGTAGCTTCATTGGGATGTTTGGGATCTTTGTGCTGGGCTATGATGGCCTACGGCCGCCTACGGCCCATGCCCTGCCTGTCAAAAGAGCTGTCATCATCCAGCTCATCGATGTTCACTGACTCGAACATGGCCTGAGAAGGACCTAAGAAGACACCGAGTGTATCGAGGTAAGCAAGTTGCTGAAGATGCTATGTTCCTTCGAAATTTGACTGACTGAGGTGAGAGGCTGGGGCTTTTGTCGGTGTCCTTAGCATGGAGTTGATTGACAATGCGGTCTGTTCTGCAGTTCCGCAGCTTTGGAATTGGGGTTGAGACGATACCTTCTGATTGAAGCTTGTGGCTGATGAAAATGATCTTGTTCATCCTGGTATGTTATGCCCATCGCAGCTAAACAGTGCCTCGATATCAAGTGATGTCAGGAGTACGTGCGGGCAAAATCCAGGTTAGCCTCTTTCACCAACCCATTTGCCGCTGTCTCTAGACCTTGCAATGCCACAAAGACCCTGGCTCTTGGCAGTGATTGACTCTTGTGACAAAACGTACCCACAAAGTGTAATTACTTGCCTAAGTGCCTAAAGGCTGTCTTGGGATCCCTGCTACCCTCTCGCAAAGAGGGTGAGTTTCTCGCGAGCTCTAGCACCTTGGTGCATCAACACCAAGGAATGCAATCTGTTTCACCGAAGGAATGCATCTTACATCTTACCTGAAACATCTGTGCTTTTCAGCGCTCAGCGGCTCAAGTGTTTCAACGGAAAACCAATTCCTGGCTCAGCACTCGCGAGACTTGGTCAGTGTCCAGGCACCTCGTTGTGAGTAGTATAAACTTACATTCTCAGTCTCAGCACTCAAACTTCCCAGCATCGATCGCCTTATGAACATGCCACAGACTCACTGGACAAATCTATGGCTTGTACTGAATGTCGTCCGATGGCATGTTGTCAATGAAAAAGTTCAGCTGCGCCCGCGATTGAGCTTGCTTCCTGATGTCTCCACATCCAACCAAACTGAACAAGTAGCCCGATCTTCAAATCATGTGTACAAAGAATTGGAAAACTGATGTGTTGATCATAGTGAGTGAGACATTACTTGGGCCAAAGCAGAGATTCAAAAGCAAACTGGATTCGGTCTGCATGAGTTTCCGGATCCTGACAACGGCAACTAAAAGGCTTTAAGAAATTGAAACGTTTCACTTAAGCCTCGCCATGGTAGAGTATCTGCAATCTCGTCAAAGGCCTAGGCAAGTATCATGCCAAAATCTAGTACAAATGATGCTACAAATGATCCGGGTCAAGCAGATAATGATCTGGACGGCCAACTTGAGAGTTTCTCATACATACTTGTAAAGCGACTTGCAAACGTGCCCCGCGCATGACTGCAGAGTTCCCACTTTTTCTATGCAACCTTTCCGGATCATTCTCGGTCGGTATCTAAATCGAATTCAATGAGGTCAAAGCGTGGGTTCGCCGTACATCTCCACCTCCCCATGGGAAATCCACCGCACAAGCCTCAGAGAACTTCTGCTTGAGAGACAAAAATTACACAAGCAAAACGAAAGGCACGAAGTGGACATGTAGTGGAACCAATTCAGTTAAAACTCTGGAGCATAGCAACAAAATGAAAAATGGAAGGGCCGCAAACACCTAATGAAAACTTTTGTCGCTTCGTTTATTCATATCTAAGATACTGTATCATGATGTTTTCTCGTGTTGCTTCAGCTTTTGACGTTCTTGCTCCCTCGGTGCCAACCGCAACGCATGCCTGACAAGCGATTTCCGCACAATCAGAATGGTCCAAAAGCGACTTGTTCATTCTTTTTGATGAAAAACGGCCGATGCTTTGATGATTCATAAGACCATATTATAATATAAACATTGCCAGCGTTTGCACTCAAGTTAGTACTCGAGTGTCTTCAACGCCTGCCAGCTACCAGCACGGTCTTCATTGAGCCGGAGGCCAGTAGCTGACACAGGCAAGCTGTTCTCCTCATCCTCACAGCTCAAACTCTGACAACTCGGACTACCCTAAGATCTAGTTTCAATGCAAAGGGTTCCGAAAGCTTCTGCTTTCACTTATCCATCTGAAGCTTGCGTCTGAACGGTGAATTATTCCGCCTGAAGTCCCATTTCGATCCACTGCTGGGGCGAACGAATGTCATATTCGGTGTTGTCAAAATCATCCAAGGTCAACCTGAACGTTTTCTCCGTTGCAAAGCTGGTGGCGCTCTTATATACGGAGTGTTGTTGTGGCCAAAATGATGAGATGCAAACCAGAAGAACAGCAACATCAATCTTATTCTATTCTTCGGTTTACTGGGTGCCCCACCAATGCCCTTCTTCCCAGCGAGCAGTTTGGAAAGAGATGCCGCGAGCTTGTAATAACTCCTGCCCGGAGCAATCAGGTTGAGCATTGAAAGCCTGGTATGTTCAAAGAAACTCTAGCCCTTGACATGTTCGTGATGCTGAGCCTCAATGTCCATGCCTTCAAACCTTTTCTGCTGCCTCTCCTAAAGTACATGCCAAAATGCAAACCGCAAGTTTGCCTAAAAATCTAGGAACCACATGAATAATTAGTGCGTCAGCTATCCTGCGCCTACCTGGAAGCTTACCTCCTCGATTAACTAAGTGGGCGCCTACTTAATTAAGCAAGGGCGGGCTAAAATAAAAGAAACATGAAAACGAAGAAATAAACATATAGAAAAACAACAGCGACATTTCTCAAGAAGTGTCACTCTTGGTGTGCGGCTACAGTCACTTTCCGCGGAATATCCCCTGGTCTGTGATTATGAACTTTGATCACCTCACGCGCAGCAGGTTCTGTCCGATAAAGCAACTGCATCCTTTTGGATTCTATTTGCATTTACGATCTACCTATATCGTTCGAGTTCTTTTGCCCGTTACATCCTATGCGGCTCTTTGCAGTGCTTAGTCGTGGAATGCCTTGGGAGGGACGACTGCAGTCGATGGCTGTATAACCGCAGGCAAAGCCTGAATCAGATGCACAAAGCTCAAAGAGAGAACAGTGTGACAATCATAAGTGCGGCTTGTGGCTTTCAGGTGTGCATGTTTCATGTTAGCACACATGGACAATTGAGTAGCGTTTTGGCCCCCAACACTTTCGGCCACATCTCGCATCTTGCCTTGGAGACACTCACACGTATACATCGATGCATATATATATAGCCAAACGTCACACGATTGCCAAAGCATAGGCAGAGCATAGCCGATTTCAAAAAACCCGAGGTACGGGATAGCTGGAAGCAGCTTGCTCTGGCCTGCAGATCAAAACCGCAACTGCAAAAAAGACATCAACATACAGTTGGAAAAAAAAATCAATTAGCTCTCCCACCGGAAATGCTATATAAGTCAATATGGTATATAATATGTGATAATATATGATAATGATGTCATTCACATCCTTCAATGCAAAGGTCATACAATTCAACCACATTGGAAAATGCCTTTGAACACCGCAAGTACCAACTCCAATTCTCAAAGCTTCTGACTGGACGTTTCACCGGCTCGGTATCACTTCGCCCTTCTCGAGCAGACTTGGGGCCTTGGATGAAGACTGTATAAAGAAGCTACTAGTAACAAGTGCGCTACTAGTAGTTTCTTGTTACTGCCCTTGTTACTAGTAGCGATGCACCAGTTGCAGCAAAGAAAAAGTGGATATAACAAAGGCTTCCAACATCTACTTTAGGCCGCTAGGCGAGGGGTTTAAGATAGCGAAAGTTTTAACTGTTGGCCATTATTGTATGCAAAAAAAAGCTGCTAGTTATTAAGTTAACACACTCAAAAGGAGGAATCCGCCGACCCCACTCGTGGGGTGAGGCGTGACTGTTGACTGATAGCCTTAGCCTTAGCCTGAGCCTTATCGTTAGCCTTATCCTTAGCCTTAGTCCGTAGCCTTAACCTTAGCCTTACCTCCCCTACCCCTCCGGACCCTTGTTGCAGTGACGAAAAGTACGCAAGATTTCTCCAAGATTTCTCCAAGAGTTGTCCAAGATTTCTCCATCCCAATTGATTTACATCTTGGGGCACCCTCGCCACCCGCGCGGGAAAATAAGCACGGTCCATAAATGGTCCCGGGCTCGAATCCCGGGCTGGTCGCGGCGTGGTACCTGCCAATACCCTTGATTTTTCCTAGATTTTGTCACGTTTTCCGTTAGATTTGTAGGATTTTCAAAGGCTTTTCCAGCGTTTACTTAGGAATGCTCTTGTTTTTTCTAGATTTTGTTACGTTTTCCGCTGGATTTGTACGATTCTCAAAGGCTTTTCCAGCATTTCCTCTGGTTTTTTGGTTCCCAGATTTCCCCAGAAAATTGCTAACCCATTTTATTCCATTGTTGTACTCATGCCTTTCATGCGCTTTGCAAAGGTTTTGACAGGATGCCTGGTTACTCTAGGTCTTTGTAAAGGCTCTGTGTAGCTTTTTGGGTCCCCAGATTGCGGGAAAATACGGTCCCTAAATGGTCCCGGGCTCGAATCCCGGGCTGATCGCGGCCTGGTCCCTGCCAGTGCCCTTGGTTTTTCTCAGATTTTGCGACGTTTTCCGCTGGATTTCTAGGATTTTCAAAGGTTTTTGTAAGATTTACTCATTCCTTTCAGACCTTTTGCGAGGGTGTTTTCCAGCATTTTCTGTGGTTCTTCTAGGTAGTTCTGTGGTTGTCTAAAGTCTCCATGTTGTTTTTTGGGTTCCCAGATTTTCAACAAAAAATGCTAGCCCATTTTCCTCGATGTTCAATCGTTTTCCACTGGATTTCAATCATGTTCTAAGGTTTCTGTAAGATTTACTCTCCACCCACGCGAAAAAATAAGCACGGTCCCCGGGCTCGAATCCCGGGCTGCGCGCGGTCTTGTTCCTTGCTAGTGCCCTTAGTTTTTACTCATGCCTTTCAGGTCTTTTGCCAGGGTTTCTTCCAGCCACTTCCCTGGGGGTCGGCGGCTGCCAGGCGTTAGCCTGGTTAAATAAGAAAGGTTCCTACACAAAACGGAACTGCAACGAACTGCTCTTGATGCTTCGACAATGTGTTAGAAGTATGCAACTTCCATGTGTGTCATGTCTTCACCATCATGTGCCGTCTCTGTATGTCAATCACAGGGAGTTTGCTAGGAGCAGGGCCAAGGTTACATGCCTTGATCTCATCCGCTTCATGTGTCCGAACGACCTCTGACAGAATGCCTCTTTGCTTTTGCCTTGGGACATGGCACTTCACTCAAATCGCTCCAATTCATTGTGTCATTATGTCGAACAAAACTTCAACATGACACAATGTGAACTACAACCAAGCTGCAGCCCGCGAGGCGTATTCAAGCCACGCCTCCAGTACTTAAAGCAATGTGCAAGAAACCAAGTTATGGACAAAGGTTGTAAGTTGCCAGGATTGTGAATAACAGGACACCCATTAGGCAGCTCTTAGAACTGGATGTGCTTGCAGAAGGCGTTTGAGCAAGGCTCGTTTGTGGGAGGCTCACTGGGGGTTGGAGCATGTTTTGCTGGCAAAGGGCGGTGTAAAGCCCGGCACTGCATTGCTGCTGGAGCTCCCTCCACCTAGAGCCAGGATAGCGGTGGAATGTGAAGTGTGATCTTCAGCTATGCTCAAACACATTTTAGCTACTAGTAACAAAGGGCATCGCTACTAGGACCAAGGACGCTACTAGGGGCGCTCCTGGCCTTACTACTAGGAGCAAGAAACTACTAGGAGCACAGGGACGTGCCTTCTATCGATGGTAGGACCCCACCAGCAGGCCTTCGACGGAACATTGAATACTGGGTTCCGGATACACCGATATGCTCACGGAGTTCAGAAAAGACTTTTCAGGCGAGTGAAAGACAACCAGGGGACATGAAAACTGGGTGACATATGAAAAGCAAGGGCCGCAAGGCTCACATCTGAGATGTGTCCAAGGCGGTTTCTCACTCATGTCTGTGGATACATTATATATATATACTTTATAACATATATATATATAAGTACATATGACGAAATGATATATCCATGTATCCGTGATCTTCAGGTCTGACTCACTCTCGGTGTCTGGCTCTCTCTGAGACACCAAAGTCCGCTGGCCACCTCGGAGAAAGTCGCGAACCCTCGAACCAACAAGGCGTGGCACCAAAGGTGCGGGCCAATGTGTTTGAACTCAGCACTGCGATTCGCCATTGCAGTGACATCAAGCCAACAAGCTAGCAATGCGACTAAGTCGTTCCGGCTTTGAAGAAACGGCATAACAAATTATCCGTTCTCCCTAAGTGTTATCCTTCTGGGCAAACTGCAACATGTCGCACATGTCAAAGTAAACCAACGCTGGACATGCAAAAGCGTTGTTTCGTGTGGGCTCAGAGACACCTGTTGTTTGAAGCGGAAAATGACTGGCTGCGCAAGTCTTGGAATCACATGTCAGCAGTTCAAGCGCACCCAAAGCCTACATGCGCAGTGTGTGATCTGAAAGCTAGCACAGTATAGATCTGTATAATACATAGTAGATATATATACTTTATGCTATATTATCTAGTAGAAAGGGCAAACGACCCAAACGTGCTGATTTCACTTCTCCATGGCAGAGAATTGTCTTCGACATGGCACTGACGATGGAGTGTTGCACAGATATTCTGCGGCAAAAAGTTGCACAAGTCGGCTAGGCTAGAATGCTGGAAAACCTAGCTGAACTGGGATAGTTCATTGTCAATCCTATGTACAAATGTTCTTCCAAAGCTTTGGCCTGGCTGTTTTAGCCTTGGCAATTCTTTCATCTGCACATTTCATCCACTTCTATCAGTCCTTCACCAACCCAAACGACCAGACCTCACTGAAGTAGTTTCTTGGACATGCATCCTGGGCCTTCCAGATACTGCGACGGAAGGACTTCGGCCACTACCTTGACCACTTTGATTGTGACAATTCCAAGACAACAAAAAGACCGTTTTTGTTGATGCACCACGAGAAGTGCAACAAGCTGGTTGCTTGGTTTGCAACAACTTCCGAGGTGCTGGAATCTGAGTCGCTGTCTCCCGCTCCTTCTATCCGCAATGCCTGTATGGTAGCTGCGACACTGCCCATTTCCTGCAGGGTAAAACCATCCAGTGGGGCAAACTCTTCTCAGCTTGACAACCAGATTTAGGTTCTGAGATATTCTGATTGATCCTTTATTTTCCTCCAGTGATCCGTGCGGCTTACGCAACACAACATTCAACTCAACTTGCTTTGCCCCGACCTCTGTCACTTTGTTCAGGGTCTCCACCCCAGATAGTTTGATTGCCCTGAGTGCTGTCCAAGCAAAGGCAGGGGAATGCTCCAAGTGTTAATTGAAAGTAATACAACAGTGTTGTATATAGCAGAACTATTGTCGCATGTATCGCATGCTTTTTGGCATAGAAAAGGTTGATTGGGGATTCTGGGATGCAGGAAGGATCTTGCAGGATGGATCTCAACATTTACCACACCACGTAATGTTCAAAGCTGGATCTTCTTTCTGG